TAATAATTTCATCAAACTCTTTTTCTAATATGGGCTGAATTAAATTTCAAAAAGATTTTTATTTTGAAATCGAATGATTTTGAGTTGAACCTTTTCAAAATCAATTCATTAACTGTCGATAGTATCTCTTATGTCAATCCTTTCTCCTGTTGCCTTTATGTTGAATCAACATTTAACAAGCTATTCATCTTGTTTTCGCCATTCTTCAACATAACTACTGTTTTGTTACATTAATCGTCTTGCAAAATGAGATTGCTGGTATGATTTTGAGTTGAACCTTTTCAAAATCAATTCATTAACTGTCGATAGTATCTCTTATGTCAATCCTTTCTCCTGTTGCCTTTATGTTGAATCAACATTAAACAAGCTATTCATCTTGTTTTCGCCATTCTTCAACATAACTACTGTTTTGTTACATTAATCGTCTTGCAAAATGAGATTGCTGGTATTATTAGAATGGTTTTTGTCTCACTGATTTAGGGTAAGGAAGAGTAACGCCGGTCACTTGAAAGAAACCATCTTTTCATCAGAGAATAATCAACTTTCATTGAAGAACAATAACCTTAAAAAAAATTCACCGGCATTGCCAGACACGGCGAAATCATGTGTACCAAAGCTCGTTATTCTGACGAAGACTGTTGGTTATTGTTATCTTAGAGAACTATTTTTTTTACTTTCCTAATGATATACTTTTTGCTATACTTTTTCATACAGTTCGTACAGAGTTCAAATTATTTTCTTTTTCCTAGTTTCTGGTAAATAGGTAGATATTCGTTTTGAGGGCACTCGGCAATTTTGAAAAATTTTTTGACTGTACCTAAGAATTTTGATGCGTAGATTACGAATCCGAAAGAAAAAAGCGGCGGTCTCCCTTTTTTACAAAGTTACGGCCCTTCAAAGTTCAGAAAAGGGAAACTTTTCGGCCTTCTTTTTCACAAGATAAACTATTTAAAAACACAAGCATTTATTCACTAGGTCACCTTCAGGTCACCTTATTTCTTCTTAATTGACACTTTTCAATTCAACAATCAACATTTTTCGTATAAAAAACTTGAATAAAAAACGAATGCTTGCATCAGTCGTACCAACTATGCCATTAACCTTAAAACGTTAAATACAGAGATAGGTATATAACCAAAAAGCAGCTCCGTACATTTTTCAACATTTTTATTGGAAAAATGTTGATTGTTGAAGTGAAAAATGTCAAGGAGGGAGGAATAAGTTGTAAAGGTGACTAGTGAATAAATGCTTGTGTTTTTAAATAGTTTATCTTGTGAAAAAGAAGCCTGAAAAGTTGCCCATTTCTGAACTTTGAAGGGCCGTAATTTTGTAAATAAGGGAGAGCGCCGCTATTTTCTTTCGGATTCGTAATCTACGCATTAAAATACGTAAGTACACTCAAAAATTTTTTCAAAATCGCCGGGTGCCCTCAAAACGAATATTTACCGATTTATTAACGACTGCGAAACAGCGGGAGACATCATGGTACCTACTATTATCTAGAGCTATCTCAATTTAATCATCTAGAAGTGATGGCGAATTCGGTGCTGATCCAGGTGGATCTGTGCTAAAAGGAATGACTTCTGCCCCTGGAGTTTTGTTCAATTGGTCGCGCTCATCTTCTGTTCAGCATCAAGAAAGTCTTCATTTGTAAATATATCTGGATTTAAAGCATGAATTCCAGTAACGGAAAATCCTGCTTTGGCTTTTGGAATTGTTTTGCCATACAAAAGCTTTAACAAGCAAGTTAGTATGAAAACGCTTTTTTACAGTATATCAACAATTAAACCAATTCATTTTCCTCAGTAACATTTTGTCAAGGGATTTGGGGTGCTACTGCTTACCAACATAATGGAAATTATTAACATTTCTCACAGAAATGACTTTTTAGCATCACAAAATTTTTCAGATTATTTCAACCAATTTCTTTCTGGGTTTGAATTTGCAAAATATGACTGCCTAAGAGTCCTTGGAGGTGTGAATTTCAACCCTTTTGGGCAGTTTCAAAAATGAGTCTAGTGTACGAAATAGGATAAACAATTTTTTTAAATTTTTATTCGAACTTTATAACACGTTAGTCATTTTTCTTCATCTTGTAATTGGATTTTGAAAATTATTTTTGATATCTGATAATAAGGTGTTAGTTTTCATTTATGATATATCAGTTTATTCAATTTAATCTTGTTCTTCTTCTAATCCCAGGTTTTGATTCCTGAATTCTTCGTCTGTCAAATCAGCAAACTGGTTTATTCCCATAAAGTAAGATTCTTCACCTGCGTCATATCTTTCATTATGTTCTCGAATTTTATTCAAGTTATTTTTGAAAATCTCAAATCGCCGTGTTTCCTCTTCCGGGGTAGGGTAGGATTTACCATGTTCTGACTGAAAAACAAAAATGGATGATGATGAACTTTCGACGAGGTTGTCGAAATTTCAAAAATGATAGATTACGTGTATAGGGTCTTCCAACAGGGATTTCCGAACATTGATAATTGATAACGGCCATCTTGTTGAAGCTACATCTGTCAAATCAGTAGTCATTTATTCAGTCCAGTTTTCCCAAGTCACCATGGATGGGTATAGCATTCAACAACAAGTGTAAACAATAAAATTGTTTTATCAAAACGGGTGTTCCGTTTAGGCAACGTATCGCGTCCTTCGCCCATAATACGGTCGCCATAATCGTTCTACCGAGAAGACTACACGCAATGTGGAGGCTAAATTTGAGTCTACTGGTTCAGTTAACGATCGACCAACAACCGTACGTGGAACGAAACACAAGATCTGTCGAAAACATCGCCGCTGTCTGTGAGAGTGTGCAAGAGGATCTGAGGCAGTCGATTTCGCGTCGCTCACAAGAACTCGACCTTTCGCAGACCACAACTTGACGAATTCTGCGTCGTGACTTGGGCCTGCACTCGTATAAAATTTCCACTGGCCCAAGAACTGAACGTAAGCGACCACAGACAACGACCTGTGTTCGCTAAATGGGCTCTGGAGCAGTTGGTAACTGACCTTAATTTTCATCAAAAAATCATTAATAGCAACGAGGCCCATTTTTGGATGAACGGGTAGTTGGCAACTGACCTTAATGGGGAATGTTCCTCCTGACGAAAATCAAGTAAGGTATTGAACTATAATTTATATTTTGCCTTGATTATTGATTTATAAAGATATCTAGGTACGTATACATTATTTCAACTTGATATAGGCGCTGTTGCCAATATGTGAATTAGAAACAAATCCTTTTAAAAATTAAAATTCAACATTTGAAACATCAATTTGGATACTTTTCGAAGTGAATTTGAAAAACTCAACTTCATTTTGTTCAAACTTGCATTTGTTGTAATAACCCAAATTGAGGAACATTCCCCATTCTCATTGAAAAATCATTATAAGCAACAAGGCCCATTTTTGGATGAATGGGCAGTTGGCAACTTACCTTAATTTTCATCGACTTGTTCGTGTGAGGTTTTCTCAGGTATATGCGAATAAGTCCAAAACTACATCGGTTTTCCAAGTCCAATACCAGCGTGGTTCGAACAGAACTGACTGGTATCTCAATCACATCATAAGAAATAACCAGGAAAGGAATTTCTGGCAAAAACATAACAATCTGCACTGATAGCAGATAAACTCTATTAGCTTTGAAGAGACAACGTGTTACCTCAGGACTAGTACTAGAGTGCCACCAAGATTTAGCCAAAGCCTTGGTAGATAATAACATTATCCTGAGGTGGATTAAAGGGCACAACAGGAGTGAAGGTAATCGCATTGCCGACTTTTTAGCCAAGGAAGCGGCTGGACTAAGAATTTTAGAACCCAGTGGCACCTACGGTCTGATGACTTTGACGATTGCGGAACTAGCCAAACATCACACCCATGCTCAATCCCTAAAAAGATGGGATGAAATCAAAGGATGCAATTTTGCTAAGATCACCCATGGCGACCCTGGGAAGCTGGCGCCGAAGAAATATCTGGCGACGACCAGGAAAAATCTACGCTTAACAGTAGGATTTCTGACTGACCACTGTCAACTAAGGAAACACCTCCACAATATGGGGCTAGTGGACACACCTCTATGCAGGATGTGTGAACAGGAAGATGAAACTGTCAGGCATGTCCCATGCGAATGCCCGGTGTTATCGTCAATAAAACGTGTGTGTTCGGCGAGTCTTGGCCTACACCTGCCGATATAAAGGAGAGGTATCCCAGAGACCTATCCACCTTCCTGGAAAGGACAGGATGGACGATGACCTAGGAGGACAACTCCTTGGGAGGATTTACAATGGATCACATGTGGCTTAAGTGCTGTGGGCCTACACTCACCCTGCCTACTCTACATATACAAAACCCATGCCATCGGTCAAATTCAGCCTCTTGGGCAATCAACATTTTTCATTTCAAACTGAACAATAAACTATTTCTTAAAAATTTAGTGATGTTAGAAAAATGAATAGAGAGAGAATTTTGATTTTCAATTGTGGTGATGGGAATTCCCCCTAGTCCCCTTCGGTCAGTCGAATTTTCGTCACAAAAAAATGTATTGAATTCTGTTGTTTTCTATGAAAATTGACGCTAGAAATTGTTTATTGTATGATTTATTTTGGGTGGAATTTCAGTGTAGTAGGTAATCTATTGGATAGTTTCTCATCTTTACATCAAAAATCTCAAAATGTATTTCTGCTCTCTGGGAATGGACTATTTAATTTTCCTATTTGAGTTCACAATTCAACTATTCCATTGTTGCCACGTACATCATAGGTACATTTGAACAATAGCTGGGTGGTCTGATTTTATATTTTACAATTCATTGTATTTACGGACTGTTATCATTTCTGATATCAAAAACTATATCCCAGCTTAATTGTAACTCATCAACATATATTTACATTATCAAATGATACCAGTGATTTCATTGTATTGTATGCATTATGACTGATTTGAATTTATGGATGAATGTAACTCTAAATGCAACCAATGAAAATATCATAATGGGTAGGTTCCTACCTTGAAATTTTTCCATTGTTCCTCCAGTGACAGTTGTGTAGCCATGACGACCGACAAAACTACGAGAAGTAACAGTGTTATTTTCATAATCTATAAAATGGATAATTGATTAAGAAATCCTTATCTACTTATCTAAAAAATATATGATCGGAAACCGAACAACAGCTATATTCTTATTCAATTCACAATCTACAGGTATCATAACCTTGAAAGTCCACATACAAAAACGGATATGATCAGTTCAGACGAATTTCAACAAATACTCACCCCAACTACGTTGATAATTTGGAAATACTAAGCTTGACCAACAACAACTAACCAAAACTAATCGAGCAGAATAAAATAGTAAATACAAAATATCTCTGTACTCTGTCAGTTACTGCGTCAGAGAAGATGCATTTCACAGTGGCGTAGATAAATTTGAATTAGAGATCAGCGGTTAAATTTATATATCAAAACTTGAGTTGGGCCCAAAAAAGCGGGCTAAATGCCATGACTAATAATAGCTGTTCAAACAAGGCCAAACAGATGACATGAGAGGTATGAACCGGCCAGTTGGTTTGGCTAAAACGGGCTAAGTTCCACCAAGGCTAGGTAATAACCCGTTGAATGTGAGATTTGTCTATGGTAGATAAGCAGATAACATCACTAAATTGCAATAAAACCTGTTGGTTGTGACAAGTTTTAGATAGAATTAAGTGTAGGCAGAATAGAAAATGGAAATAAATAGTGACACGGCCAAAAAACGGGAAAAGGGAGAATCAATTTGGAATGAAAGGAAACATCGTACAGTGAAGGAAAATTTTATGTGAACTGTAAAGAACGTGTTGGTAGAAGGAAAAACTGAACCAAAACAAGAGGTGTGTTTAATATATTTACTTAACTCTAATAGTTATTGTTGTGCCAGATATCCGTCTATTTTATTCATTTTTCCAAAGGAATTTATGTTCAGTACCTTGTAATAGCTAAATTTCTAAATTTACTTGGATATTTTCCAAAGTTCGCTTATACTATTACTATTTTCTGCTTGTATTAAAGTTTTAAGCATCTCTGCTGGACTTGGTAGTTTAATTTTTTTAATAGATTATGTCTTGTTTTGTTTCAGTTCAGCTGCAAGTGTAAGTTTCGGTGTGATTATGTCCTGCATAAGCCGACAATACCCACAATTTCTATGCCCTGAAAGACAGTGTGAATAAAAACTCTTTTTTAATGGGTCTGATGGTCATCATTCCTGTAAAACGAAGAAGTCATGGTCAGTATGATGATGCAAAGGACAGCAGACGGCAAGCTACGGTCTGTTTCTCATTGCTAGATGGAAAGAGTGATGTACTGATTTGCAAGAATACTTTTATGCACGTTTTTGGAACGCAGAATTGAAACTCTCGTGAAAGCTAAAAGAAATTGGTGAAGTGATCTTTAAAGAAAAGTGGGGTAATAAGGCTCAAAACAGCAAGTTCTCAGCGAAGATGTGGATCTTATTATCGGACATGTTAACTCTTCTCCAAGGAACGAGAGTCATTATGGAAGGAGGAAAAGCAATAAGCACGGTACAGCAGGCTGCAGCAGGTATATAAGTAGGTTTCTGATCAAATTTGGTAATTTCCCTACATATTTGTTTTAATTCAAGAACCATTTTGATTTAATTGACGTGCAATATGATGCTGAGTATGATGGGCCCTCTGCTGAATTGGAACATGAAAATTATTTTGGTAACTGGAAAATGCATTAATTCATTTACCAAATGATGCTAACTTCAAATAAGTTTCCGACAAAAATGATATTCACAGGACTACATATTATTGATTAGAGAAAGTCAACTTTTATTCAAAATATAACATCGTATTCGATTCTTCTTTCGTCAGGTCGGCAAACTGGTTTATTCCTAGAAAGTATGATTCTTCACCCGCGTCATATTTTTTATTATGTTCTCGAATTTCGTTCAAATTAGTTTTGAAAATCGCCAACCGCCGTGTTTCTTCTTCCGGAGTAGAGTAGGATTTACTGTGTTCTGACTGAAAACAAAAATAGATGAAAAACATTTTTTTTTTGTCGAGGCTGTCGAAATTTTAATGATTAGGATACGTTTAAGTGAATATCTAGTTCTCAATTTTATTGTTTTATAACAAAATCTAGAAGAATTTCAAGAATGGAAAAACTTTAAAAATTATTCTAGAAAATATTCCCATTTCAATTTTCATTCAGGTTTTTTCTACGATAGACACACGACACACTCATAGATAGACAAACATAACTCAAATGTATTCATTTTATAAAAATAAATAATGTAATTACATTTCAGTCTTCAAACTCAAAAGGTCTTTGTTACGCCTATGTCGACTATCTCCATCAGTGAGTCACCCATGATTCATTGAAATAATAAAAAAAACTGGTCTCCCGTGAGGACATAGCATAGCTATTGAAGTTTCAAATACAAATTTTCAAGCTGTAAGTACCATTTGTGATTAGTAATCTCAAATTACTATGCATTGATATTTTTATAATAGGTTATGTCGAGTGTCATTTACATAAACTACAGGAAAACAAGAATAACATCAATTCAAACAATAAACGGGGAGAAAATCTTGAAAAATGCGAGTGGAACAAAATGGATAACTTCTATTATACAAAAATATATATGAGTAATCAAATTATACCTTAAATTTCTTCCATTCTTCTTCAGCAGACAGTTGAGAGTCCATACTGATTGTGAAAAAAGTATAAGAGAAGAAAAATACTTATTTCTTATTTACTCCTTGAAAATATTTTACTATTATCTGTTTTAAAAGTAAATATACAATGTTTGATACTGACATGGAAGAGTTCAAGAGATCGGAAATTTCAACTGCATATTGAAGAGTACAAAGTACAAGCTGTACAAGTAAACACGATATACTTACGGCATCTAATACTGTTTACAAGACATTGACGTATATAGGGGTGGCCCAGCAGGTCCCATAAATGTTATTAGAAATCAATTTTTCCAAGCTACTGTACAGAAAAATGAATTAGTCCATTTGTAATACATTTTTCTGGGTTATTATTAACAAAGTAAATTCATTTAAATCCTTAGTTGAAATAAAAAAATCAATTCGATTCAAAGTATGAGATATATTTATTTTACGTATTTACTCATAGCAAAAAAATTTAATCCCAACGAATCACGATGGGAAACAATTTTTTACACACGTCAGTGATACAAGGTCCTTCATGATAATGTTTCGATCTATTCAAGAGATGATCATGAACTGAGTATTCCTTAAGGGTGTGAAAGATCTTTTTTCACACAAAACTACAACAAAAAATACAGGTTCGTGTTTAAAAATTCAAAGATGGGGGTGGCCCAAGTCAGATGACACCCTGTATAAAAGATTCGTGGACATATTCGGATAGCCCACATCGAGTGCCAATAGCAAAATGTGAACAGATTTTCAATATGTCTGCGAATAAAGAAGATATTGTCAAAAAAATAATTTGGAATTTTTTGGTTTTTCCTGTATATCTCCAGAACCAAAATAGCTATATTCGATTTTTTCACATCATTGAATAGGTCTCTAAAATACGCAACTTTGCCACAATTTAACCGACACTCTATCTCTTATCGTTTACGAGATCCCCATGTACAGAAACGAATTTGAATANGCAATGTTTGGCCATGTTCAAAGAAAACAATCCGAACTTTTTGCGTTGACACTTGACAATGGATGGAACTTCACTTCGGAATCGAATCGATCGTCATGTGAGTGGAGATTAGATTAGATTAATATGGGACTTCTGTGCTGAACAGCCACTACACTGCGACCTTTGCAGGTCTATTGTGTGTGCCCTCATGTATGCTAGAGTTCCTTGTCTAGACTCGTCCTTGTAACTAGACTCCCATAGGATAGACCTCAAGTTCCCCATATATTGAGAGGGTTGTGGTTTTTCCTCTCCTAATGTTGCAAACCTTATCCTTGACGAACCTTCCTCATCCTCTTGGCAAAGCCTGCATAGGGCTGTGTCTGCCAATCCGATGTTGTTCATGTGTTTGTTGAGTCTACAGTGTCCCGTCAATAGCCCGATCAGAACTCTAGTTGATCGCCTTTTCAGACTTAGTAGGTACTCCGTGAATTTTGGCGATGGCTCTTTAATGAACTCTTTGGCCTGTCTCATACCCGGCGCCTCATTCCACCATTTTTGAGATTGTTTTTCCTTCCAGTTGCTGTTACAAGTTTTTCGCAGCGCTTTTGCTGTACCACAAAAGGGTTCTGGTCCAATGGGGGAGCATCGTGCTCCTTCTCGTGCTAGTGAATCAGCCTGTTCGTTGCCTTAGTTAAATAGTTAAAAACAAACCTTATGAATGCATGACGCGTTGTGATACGGGATTACCAAAACCTTCAGATGTTCATCTAATAAAATTACTGAAAAAAACAATATACGACTGTTACAAAACCAATGAGATTCCTACAACTGAAATGATAAGGAAGAAATTGAATACTTCCGGTCATAACGTGAGCTGCTGTGACAAAACTCGTCACAACTGGATAAAGAAACTAGGATTTAGATTTAAAATAATAAACATACGTCAAGCAGCGAAATAGCGGAAGCCGCGGAAGAATAGTGGAATTGCCAAAAAAATACTTAGAACAAATAACTAAATATAGATGAGAACAACGGCAAATTTTCTATCTGGACGAAACTTGGTATGATACTCACGACATAGTTACGAAAGGGTGGACTGATGGTTCTAGAATATGTACGCCTAACATGCCTACAAACAAAGGATCGCGATTAATCATTGTGCATTGATCGCGATTAATCATTGTGCATTGCGGAGGAAGTAAAGGATGGCTTCCGAATTCTTTGAAATTATATGGAAAAAAACTTGAGAACTGCAATGTTGACTATCATAAGAGCATGGAAGCTAATATTTTCGAGGAATGGTTTGAAAATACATTGATCCCAAATTTGGATGCGAATAGTGTAATAGTTTTTGACAATGCTTCATCATTCGCGACAGCTCATCAAAGTACCGAATAAAAATCCAAATAAAGATGAAATACGAAGTTTTTTAATGGATATCAATTTGTATTTTGAATATTACTATACCAAAAACCAACTACTTGAAGTTTTACAGACAAAAACATTTGAAAAAGTGTATGCCCTTGAGAGTATTTCTGAAAAGTATGAAAACACCATACTGAGATTTCCCCCCTATGTTTGTGTTTTCAATCCAATCGAGTTGATTTGGGGAAATCATCAGGAGTAAAAATAATTTTCGAAAATTTGATAAAAAGGTAATAGAGCTAATTAAAGAAGAAGTATTTAGTATTACCGAAGAAGACTAGCAGAAAAGGATTAAAAAAGTAAGGGAGCAAAATATTAGGATAGAACGCATTATAGAAATGATTAAAATATTTTCTCAATAACAGTTTTTAAAATTATTCTTTATTCAATACACAAACTTCTTTGTGGAACAATGTAACGGAGGTAATTGTTTGTGAAAAATCCTTCAATTTCAAAATTATACGCATTATGCGAATGTAGCAAGACCGCCTTTAGGTGGCCGGCGCACACCGTTGTAAATTTTCATCTCTTCTGGTGTTAAATCGGAGAATCTATTGATCCCCATTCTCCAAGTCACTTCTCCATTGTCATATTTTCTGTTATGTTCTTCTACTTCCCGAAGATGAGTCTCAAAAATGGCACGACGTTTTGCTTCCTCCTCTTTGTTTGCGTAAGATTTGCCATGCGACACCTGAAAAATGATACACTTATTTTTACTAAAATTTCGGAGATAGAAGCAGTACATCAAGCAGATCATGGATGTTATGTATTATTATTGTATTGGTGGTTATTATAATCCGCCTTGCAGTAGGGGGATCTTAAAATTCCTCTGCTGGGAGATGTTTCACCAGTGGAGGTAAGATTCATCCTAAATGACACCATCCTAAGGTGTGTGTAATCGTGCCAAAAGTATCAACAACTCAGAGCTAGAAATCAGTATCACGGTTATGCGGTGCTTTGCCATAACTGCTGCTGCTTTTACCTAGTTACTCCTTTATGAATCATGAAGTAACCAAAGAATACGATCCCTACTCTATACAGGAAAGATGAAATCTACCAAACGACCCCAACTGTTCTCCGTGTAACATCGGGTTGGCTGTCCTTGTTCATCTTCCACTGCCTGAACCACTGTCCATGCTGTTTTTTGGCGAGTGCATTGGCTTGGGATGGGATGTGGGGGTTGAGCAAACCTACCATCGGATGCCTGCTTCCTCGCAGCCCCGCTGGATACGGGAATGACAGAATCACTTGTGGTTCTGTTATTCCCTAACTGAATGGCATCCCAACGATAGCTTGATCCTAAGGTGTGTGTATCCGTGCCGAGAGGATGAATGACACTAAGCCTATCAGCTGTTTCTACGGAACCTTCAAGATACCGGGCGCGCCCTCTCGTCGTAGCATCGCCTTGCCACGGTAATGCGGAGCTCTGCCGTGATTGACCTTCTTTCCCTAGCTACTCGTGGGACTTTTATGGACGGAGTAAACTTAAAAATTCTTTCTGACGGTGAGTCTACAGAGGAGATGGATGTCGAGCTTACGACTTCAACTGACCTCCCTGTAAATTTAGATCAGGAGCGAGTCTACAGAGGAGATGGATGTCGTTCTCATGACTCCAACTGATTTCCCTGTAAATTTAGGTCAGAAACGAGAGCTTCTCAACTCTCCAACTCCTGATCCAATAACTGAACCTAAAAAATAGTTTGGTGGTGCAGCCAGAAAACGACTGAGTCGTCTCCTCAAGAGCGGGGTACCGTATGAAACCGCCTTGCACCAAATTCTTGAGCGGCGTACGTAAAATCTGTCTCAGGTGGAGGAACAAAACCCCCCATGAGTAGGTTTGCGCAAACATTTGCGCTCAAGTGATGATTCACCAAAACCAGAGGCGAAAAAGTCCTGCACGGTTGAATCTAAGGCATCGTCAGGTGTAGCTGACGTGCGAAAACCCTCATATGGGAAGTTTGTCGCGGGTATCAAGGTGGGAATCTTGCACCTTGACTATCCCACTACCTCATTAACAATGGAACAGCAGAGCATATACTTTGGCCTGCCCCGCTGGGGACCGAATCAGGTTTTTAGAGTTCGGCAGAGCCGTATCTTACCATCTGACCTGAAAGACCACTCACCATACAAACTAATCGGCTTCGTTGAGAAGCTGGGTTTATTTGGTCGAGTGTGAATAGGTGTGGGTTGCAAAAACGTGGAATGTCACTCATTAACGAACATATTCAAGTAACCTTTTTAAATAAAAATACAGTTCATACATACAGTACAAATTGAACTGTGAAAGCTGTCCCAACTGCTATGTTGGTCAAACCGGACGATAACTTGATAAACGAGATTCAGAACCCTAAGAAACTAAATATCAAAAATCCCACAGCTCTTGTTGAACATGAAGGAGAACATGGACATATTTTTGACTTCGAACATCCAACTATTCTAGATGTTCAACCATATTTATCCATATTTATCCAAAAGATGTTTGAGCAAAACGATACATATGCTCAAACACGATAGTGTAGTTGCAGTTTTTGGTTGACCCAAAAGTTCATCGTCCAGTGAGTAGCCCATAAATATAACCGTACTAAATGACAGATTTTTCGCATATCTGTTGAATATCTCACAGACCTGACTATAGGTATGTATAAAGTTTATTCAGTTTCAGCACATACCTATGCGAGACAAATTACAAAGGTATCAAAATTAATGTCATAACGTATAAGTTGATCCAAACTTTTTGCGAGTTCAATTTAAATTCAAAAACTTAAGAAACATGACGGTCTGGATGATTTTGGAAAACAATATGGACATGAATGACAGTGGCATTCCACTGATACTAGGATATTATTACAGCATGGTTCCCCAAGTAACATTCCCCAAAAAACATTGTTGACCATATTCCGCTGACATTTTTCAATGAATTTTAAAAAGCTATGCACAAAATTTTTTGTTATTGTGAATTTTGATCAATAGATCGAAAAAGTACACGAGACGGTACGTGGTTCTTTTGTATTAATTGAGATAGGAAATAATCAGGTATAATAGTCGAAATAACCGGTATTGTGCATACTTGAAGTGTCCGCTCTCTCAAAGACCAAAAAAAAACCAATACAGAGAAATAAAGCCGCTAACTACTCCACGTGGACTGAAGAATTGACGATTCGTATTGGATGATTTTTACTAACCGGGTTTTATGATAGGCTGAAGAGTCATAAAATTTAATTTGAAGTCATATTACGGTGACGAATAGAATGCTAGCCGACGTGTTGTCAATGTTCAGTTCAGAACTGATCGCGATTTGAGTGTTGAAATTCGATATTGGCGCAGTTATAATTACTTAAAATCTGTTTGAAATGTGGCGTCCTTGGAAAGTAATAATAGTAATAACGAGTGTGATAACAACGCAGACTTTTTCCTGTGTAGTGATTCCAATAGCGATGGTGAACAATGCGAAATAGAGATACCAGTGAATAAGATTCGGATGCATTTGAATATTGAAACACAGAGAGTATGTTTCAATGTATATAATTTCTGTTGTGTTCTTCTACTTCCCGAAGATGAGTCTCAAAAATGGCACGACGTTTTGCTTCCTCCTCTTTGTTTGCGTAAGATTTGCCATGCGATACCTAAAAAAAATAATACACTTAATACACAAAACTTTCGGAGATAGTACATCAAGCAAATCATAGATGTTATCTGTTATATTTGTATTGGTGGTTGTTATAATCCGCCTTGCCGTAGGCGGCCTTAAAATTTCTCTGCCGAGAGACGTTTCACCAGTGGAGGTAAAAGTCATCCTGAATGACACGTCATCCTACTTACTTGTGATACCCTTTTTGAACCATGAAGTAACCAAAGAATCCGATCCCTATTCTACAGGAAAGATGAAATCTACCAAACGACCCCAACTGTTCTCGATGTAACATCGGGTTGGCGGTCCTTGTTCATCTTTCACTGCTTGAACCACTGTCCATGCTGTTTTTTGGCGAGTGCATTGGCTTGGGATGGGATGTGGGGGTTGAGCAAACCTACCATCGGATGCCTGCTTCCACGTAGCCCCGCTAAATACGGGAATGACAGAATCACTTGTGGTTCTGTTATTCCCTAACTGAATGGCATCCCAACAATAGCTTAATCGTAAGGTGTGTGTATCCGTATCGAGAGGACGAATGACACTGAGCCTATCAGCTGCCTCTACGGAACCTTCGAGATACTGGGTGCCCTCTCGCCGTAGCATCGCCTTGTCACGGTAATGCGGGGTTCTGCCGTGATTGTTCATCTTTCCCAGCTACTCGCGGGACTTTTATGGACGGAGTAAACTTATAAATTCTTTCTGACGTTGAGCCTACAGAGGAGTTGGATGTCGAGCTTATGACTCCAACTGACTTCCCTGTAAATTCAGATCAGGAACGAGAGCTTCTCATCTCTCCAACTCCTGATCCAATAACTGAACCCAAAAAAAAAGTTTTTGTGGTGCAGCCAGAAAACGACTGAGTCGTCTCATCAAGAGTGGGTTACCTTATGAAACCACCTTGCACCAAATTCTTGAGCGGCGTACGCAGAATCTGTTTTAGGTGGAGGAACAAACCCCCCATGAGCAGGTTAGCAAACGTTTGCGCTCAAGTGATGATTCACCAAAACCAGAGGCGAAAAAGCCCTGCACAGTTGATTCTAAGGCGTCATCAGGTGTAGCTGACGTGCAAAAACACTCATATGGGAAAGTAGAAGTATCAAGAGGGATTCTTGCACCTTGACTATCCGACTACCTCATTAACGACGAAACAGCAGAGCATATACTTTGTGCTTGCCCCGCTGGGGACCGAATCAGGTTTTTAGAGTTCGGCAGAGCCGTACTCTTACCATCTGACTTGAAAGACCACTCACCATACATACTAATCGGCTTTGTTAAGAAGCTGGGTTTATTTGGTCTAGTGTGAATGAGTGTGGGTACCTAATCTAATCTAACCTAACCTAACCTAACATCGGAACAAGAATATCACTGGAGTTCTATCCCAACACCGTTATTTTAACACCTCGACACGTGGTTTTGTTGATGAGGACTTGGGTCCGTTTCAAGTGGTCAAAAGGTATGTAGTCCACTGTTAGCGTAGTATTGCAGTTATTATTGAATAGTTTGATTTGGTGACAAAATATCATACCTTGAAACTACTCCATTGTTCGTCCACAGATAAACTACGAGTATTTGTAGTTATAAACACTGAGAAAACTACAAAAAGTAACAGTGTTATTTTCATTTTCACAGGAGATAAAAATTGATTTATTAGAGGTTTTTCTCTAGTTATCTAATGAAGAACTGATCAAAAACTCAACAACTCAGATATCATATGTAATCACATCCTCGAACTTTGAACTGTGTTTACATATAAAAAGTGATACGATAACAGGGGACTACAAAATATTTTACTCGAAATCAAAATATATTTGATCTCGAAGTATTGAATTCAAATCGAACATCTGAAATGTTCTGATGGATCGAGTTTTCAGGTCATCCAAACAAAAAATTAATGATGTTTTTTTGGTAAGGGTTGCCTTTTATATTTCGGGATTAGAGAACAAAAACAAATATGAACCATCGAAAAACACTTTATTGTTTTTCAAAATATTCCCTATGAAGCTCTATACACTTGCATGCGTTTGAACCAATTGTCGAAGCACTTTTGTGACTCTGATTGAGGTATCTCCAAAACATGCATTCTGAATGCGGCAACCGCTTCTTCAGGTGTCAAAAAACGTTGACCTCTCAGTTTGTTTTTTGCATGCGGGAATAAAAAGAAGTCATTCGGTGCTAAGTCAGTACTATACGGCGGATGACTTATCAAATCGATGTTTTGGGTGCTCAAAAATGCAGTTGTTTGAGCCGATGTGTGAGAGCTCGCATTGTCGTGGTGAAGAGTGATCCGTCTTCGGCGGTTGGATGATTGAGGTATCTCCAAAACATGCATTCTGAATAAAGCAACCGCTTCTTCAGGTGTCAAAAAACGTTGACCTCTCAGTTTGTTTTTTACATGCAGGAATAAAAAGAAGTCATTCGGTGCCAAGTCAGTACTATACGGCGGATGACTCATCAAATCGATGTTTTGGGTGCTCAAAAATGCAGTTGTTTGAGCCGATGTGTGAGAGCTCGTTCTGAGTACGTATAAGCTCAAAAATGTACAACTTTACGATAGAGCTGTCAGTTGCCAGATTGCAACACTAGGATTGCCAAATTCCGAAACATATAAGGCAACCTATCATATACTTGAGGTGTTCTTCTTTATAATATTCATGGAATGAATATTATGAATTAAAGAGCTATCGCGAAAGCTATTTTCCAGGTTTTTTGGCCGTGATCTGCAGGTTTTTGTGCCTGACGTTTCGTCTACTACTGCGGTAGACATTATCAAAGGCGATGTGCTAACGGTTGCAGTGCCCGAGTTGGTGCTCCCATTGTTCCGGACATATTAACATTGCGAAAGTACTTACTTAATTTTGAGCAACAATCACTTGTAGAAAGCTACATGTTTAACTTGTGAGATGGTTCTGAGCGAGCAAACTTTGTCAATTTCAATTACTCTTTCTTTTCGAAAGTATCTCTCGACTTTTTATTATTCATCCAAATTGAAGGAACTCCTACATATTCTGCAAGGAAAAGGCAATCCTTTCATTTTATGCGTACATACACCAATTAAGTTTAGAAGTAGGTGTGTTTTGTTAGCAATAGTTTTATTTCAGATCCAGCCAAAAATTGTTCGTTTTCTCTGCTCAATGTTATTTGATCTGCACTAAAATTTAATACCAACAAAACATACCTAGTGAATAGTTTTCGGCACGAACAGTGTCAAACTGATTATGGTCGTTATCAGTGGACAGAGAGTATAGAAAGAATAAAATCCGGGTTTCGTTTCTGATGTGGTGGTGGACAGACATGCCGACAGCGACCGTCCACAAAGAAGGTAGGCGGACGCCATTGTTGAAGATGAAACTCAGTTTGTGTCGTGAATGTCTGCCGTCATAGATCATGCCACCATTAAATTAAACATTTTTTGTGAACAGTCTATAAGTGTTGAAGAGAAACAGCACTCCCATTCACGCCGGTTGGAGGCCGGGATGGACCGGATGTCCACGTGGAGACAGGATTTTACCAAATAAATATGTCAATGTGTAAAACTCTTAAAGTCTCCAAAAAATATTGAGTGTTTTTATTTTTTATTGCTCGCAGCAATCTTGCTGCGAGCAAGATTGCTCCCCCCACCCCCCCCCCCACGAAGCTCCTATCAATTCTGATAGGAGGGGGATGGACAAATGCGCCGCAATGAAGCCCAAAAACTCAGAGAGAGAAAGAGAGAGAATAAAATCCAGACTGCTGAGCCAGATCATACACTGTGGCAGAGCTGTGGTCGAATGAAATTTGTAGTAGGTACCAAAAGTTTCGTCTGTTCTGTGGCAGACATCGTCTGTTCTGTGGCAGACATGTGGCATAATACGTTGACTGTAAGGACGAAGGTAGTATCTAGTGTCAGGACCTATAAGCCCGGATTTCATTATCTCCGGGCAGGAAAGCATATATTTTTGTATACCATGTTAGTGTTGTAGTGTTAGTGTACTGTTAGTGTTATAGTCTATATATGTTAGTTTTCTGTAATGATTCTTGGTGTATAGGGATATATTTTCTCTGTTGTATCAGTTTTGAATATTAAATCAGTTTCAAAGAATAAAATAATACCAACTTATTTTGTTTTTAGAAATAAATTATTACTCTTATTTTTTCATCGTTTTTATTTTCCGTGGCCTGCAACCCACTATACTTATGACTCTTGTGTTGGTTGCCTAGTATGAATATCTTTGCTTGTCGATAGCACAGTAAAAAAACTTGATAGATAGGCATTACAATTATGTTTTACGTGGAGTAATTTTGACATGTAATAATCGTTTATATCTCAATTATGAAAATATATGACATTTTTCTGACTATAGTGTCATTTTATACGAATATGGATATCTTCATAATATCTGTTCATTATCGCCGCCAGTGGCGGCGCAAGACCTAAATTTGATGTGGGCAAGGTACATTTCGCGAGGCCCTCTGATGGTGTAAGAAGGGTTTATAAAATAAAAAAAAAACACCTGAAATTAAATAATCATTCATTCATTAAGAAACACTTGCCAAACTTTTACTCATGTACGTTTTTGGAACATTACACAACATTGAAAACAAAACAAAAATCCGACTCAAAAGTAACAAAGAAACATCATGTCTCGATCACCGTATTATAACCCCTGTCCAAGTCACTGACATTGCGCCAATTTACTCACTTCACTTCAATTAAAGAAACCAAAAAATTTCTTTTTCTTTTTGGTGAACCAGATTCCCATTTTCTGTCTTTATCTCTATCTCTCTTGGTGTCTAAGCCTGACATGATTGATGAATGCACCAATATTGTATCCGTAACCTGTGAAAAAATAAAAATAACATTTGTAGGTTCTTGGTTCTTTCAATAAATTGATGGATGTATCCGTCACACTATGTTCCTATGATTTTTTAACACTTGTGTTTGTAACTAACGTTACCGCAGTTTCATCCTACCATGACAATGAACTACAGTAACGTCAGTTACGAACACGAGTGGTTAAAAAACATAGAAACTCTGAGTTCTCATTTTTCATACTTGTTTCTTTTCTTCAGTATAAGAAGTGGATTAGTCCGTTTTAATGCAAATTGGATGCATTTAATACATAATAATATTAGTTTGTACATTGCCCACTCTAGTATTTCACTAACGTACTATATGTTTAATACAATATAACCCGCATAATGGAAAGGCGAGTTCTAGCGTTAAAAATCGAAGATATTAAACAAATGATAGATATAGTTTTCTATAATGTAATAGTTCGTAAAGAAAACTTACCTGTTTCTTGATAAATAAGATAATCACAGGTGTTATTATTTTTCTTCGCGACACAATTCAAATTTCAACTTATTTATTGGATTCGTGTTATCGTTTTAAATCTATGTAACATCATTTATTCTGACATCAAATACTTGTTGAGAAATTATAATACAGGAACGTGAAGCGAGACTGCATCTGCATCCCTAGTAAGGGAAAGTCCCGAGGTTTCTTACCGGGGATTCCCCGCGATAGTAGCTTGACGCTAAGTAATGTTGCCAGACTAAATAAAAACGAATGATATAAACGACAAATATGATAATTTTATAATTAATTAATTTCATAATTTCATTAATAAAACGGTGGTCCACACCTTACGCCGTCTCTGATAGCCGCCCCTTACTTTCATCTCTCATACATTTTCGTACTCGTTTTTGAACTGTTTAGCTACGAATAAAATATTTGATAGGAAACATCATTAAATGATTACATGTTACGGGCATATTGTTGAGTGATTTGCCACGCTTCATTCGTAAACTTCAACTTGCGATTCGAATTTTACATCGCTTGTAAGCTTCGGTCATTAAACCTCGGATGAGTCAGACGGTTTTTCCTTGAATTGGATTAAAGATAAGATAACTAAATCAGGTGATGTAATCAATCAATAACTTATTTTTATGAACTGAAAATGAAATAAGCCTCATTTCTTTTATAGTCATCCAATCATCATGGCCTCCCCACTATCCGCTGAAGAAGAATTCAAAAATTTTAAGGTATGGCACTTCCGCTATTAGATATTCGTGTCATGGAATGTAATTTATTTTGAATTCTATTTCTAATTGTTCCACGTTGTTTCCGCTTGGCGTGCGTTACTTGACCCCATCAATTGTAACCTAACCTATATTTTGAAACTAATCCCGATTTACAAATACTCATCAACTTCTTGAAAGTTTTTAGTTCGAAACAGCCATACTTATCTTCACGATGGCCAGGCTTTAATTATTGTAACGAACCATAAGATAGATGGTCGACAAGGGCGTAACATTGGGTTTGCAGCTGGAATTCCCAGTCATTACATAATTTATTTTTGTACTAGTGATAATAATAATAATACTCTTGAATCATACCGACTTGCCGCACTAAGGCAGGAATCTCAGCTGGAGAGATGCAGAAGGCTGTCACTCTTGGCTCACTGCGCTTACTCAGGGCACATGATTCTCGGACCCAGTGATCACTTACCCCACGGTGTGGGGAGTGGTCATTGGTTGATAATACTGGCACGTCCTTCTGAATGTTTCGGGGGATAAGGCCTGACGACCGCAAACTAAGGTTGAAAAAAAAAATATAATGATGGTTTTTGTCAGAGGTGAGATTATACATAAAAAATAATACAAAATGAACAATAACAAATGGCAGGATTCAAAATTAGATCTTGCCACGTCTGAAGTGACCCAATCAGGGTTTGCTTTGCATTTAAACAAAAAAAAACTGTTCGTATAGTTTGAATACATACTATTCCGGGGATTACATTAGATATATCAGACTAAAACATTATTAACATTGATGAAAGAATGTTATATGAAATCAGAGATGAATATTTCGAAATTTCATTTCGAAATATTTATTTTCTGAATGTAGAAATGTGTGTTGCCTTCAGGTCTGTCGATGGCCACTTCTATTGTAAAACGTACGTAAAATTATATGTTTGTATAGTTAAGTTGTTTTTGTCTTCACGGTCATGAAAAAATATGAAAATACAATTATTACGTATTTAATAACAATTAGATGACGTGTCAAATTTTCAAGGAATTCATACATCATAACATGTATATTAGTGTAGGTATCCATGGATGAACACAAATAATGAAATTAAATACTTGAACACGACTCATTTGTACCTATTCCTATATATACTGGTCAAACTCGACAGTCTATTAGTCGAACAAGTGATTTTCTAAGAAATTAATCAAGTCCTGCGAACATCGAGATGAAGATATTCGTTTTATTGTGTATCGCCGCTTTCGGTATGGCAGAATTTTTGTCGGATGATGAGGAATGGAGCAACTTCAAGGTGAATCTGATTTTTATATTTTCATTTAGGTCATCAAAATTGAAAATAATGATTCAATTAGGTTTTTTAGTGTTTGCATCTCTTGAATCGATTACTAAGTAACGCGAAGGCTGAATCTAGTCTAGTTGTCAAGTGCTATTCCACACGCAAGTTTGAAAGTTATTTATTTATCTTAAAAACTCTCGAAGATATGCAAAATTTGAAACAGTTCAAATACGGGAAGAAACGACGTTCGATTTAGTTGCTTCAACAAAAAAATCCAACTCATCTGAGTATAAGTATGAGTATTAAACAAATCAGGTGCTTGGTGGAAGTTTTCCTCACAATTATACTCATTCTTTTGGCCATCAACAACTTTCCCCAAGTTGAATGTTTACATACAATCATAAAAAGTTGATAAAACAAACTAAACTGTTGCTTATTTATTATTGATTTGTTCAATAAGCAAAAATTGACATTACTGACTATCATAGATATAATTTTTGTATTTGAATTTCCTGATATTGAATCTCTTCAATTGCTCACGCAAAGAATTTTAGAGTTTCGCAGCACCGAAAAGAAATGATCTCCAAAACTGTGCAGTGGAATATCATGGCATAGTCAGTTTGATTTTATTTCTAATATTTAATAAGTGGATATCTTCACGTAAAATTAGTTATTGTATTAAAAAGGGAGAGTGGGGAAGAATTATCAATTTATGAACAAAACTACCCAAATGGTAATACGGTTTTTCACTTTGAGCCAGCGGGATACTTCAGAAATGTAATCATACTTGCGAATTTCATAAATTAGACGGTAACAAGAATTTTTAACTTTAACTTTGACTAAGTATGGCCAATATATGAAGTCATAGTAGACGAAATAGCTTAGCACCAAACTATCACAAAGCATTTTTTTCAGAGATTGGCTCAAAATAGAACGATTGCAGTATAACAGTTTCAATGACATAAAAGTTTTTTTTTTCATTAAAATTTCCACATAATCAGTGAAGTGTTGTAGCTGTATTGACATGAGTCAAAATAGTATGACCTAGTTCTAAGTGGATTTTTTTCTGCAAATTTACGACTCTTCTGCGATCCAAAATGCATTATCATTGTTCAAATTATATTCACTTGATAGATAATTGATGTAGATTAGCTAGAGATTTGTGCCTCAGCATACTCAACGATTTTAAATGCATATGCATATGTCATCAGCATTAGCCTGTATTCAAGTCTTGATCGACGAGATGATGTCAGTAGTATAAATGATGAACAATAAAGGTCCCAAAGTGGAACCCCGTGGTACTCCAGATAGAATATCAAAAAAATCCAATGTATTAAATGAAATATTCATTCATTTGAATTCTCAGCACCTCTTATAGTAACACTTTTAATTGAATATGTGTTATATCACTCCAGAGTTTTTTTGAAGGTAATATTGAACATCCGTTGGTTGGGTTTTCAAAACTGAAACTACCCATAACCTTACTTTCTAAAATGTCATAGACCAGTGGACTTCGTATTTTTTTTATTTCGTGCTGTGAGTGCTAGTTTTAAAATAAAGCAGTGATTGGCCAACAAGTTTTTTAACTATGTAACCTTTTTTTCAGTCTAAATTCAATAAAGTCTACAACACTCCTGAAGAGGAAGTACGCCGATTCGAGATTTTTAAAGATAATCTGAACCACGTCCGAGAACACCAAAAAAAATATGATGCTGGTGAGGTGACTTACAGTCTAGGAATAAATGATTTTTCTGATCTAACCACTGAAGAATTCAAAATAAGATACACAGGATTGAGGACTGATTGAGGACTAAACAACTCAAAGCAATTCAGGACATTCTATAAGTTCTGATATTTTTATATTATTAAAGATATCAAATGAAATGTTGTTGTTGCTTTTGTTTCTCCGACTCTTAATTTGAGGATAATCAACACTGTTATTATTACACGACGGTTTAAAAACAAGTATATTGGAAACTAACTGATAACTTGGCACAGGACAGTGATCTTTTCATCTACTTGTTGTCTCGAACAGAACTAGAACTGTGTCACCTGTCACAACTGTCACAGGCAGTGAATATGGCCTAAGCTCCTGAAACCGTTGACCATATTCCTAGACTTGTCTGGTTGAGGGTTTGTTGTGTATACGTGGCCTGCTGCTCATTCTAATTTCAACAAGTCAGCAGTCCTCACGTTAACATTTACAATGTGAGGGTTTTACGAAAACTGCGACAGGTTTCGCTATAGAAAAGCTCTTGCTTATGAAAGCTCTTGTATAGCGAAACACGTATCTGGTGTTTTGTGTTATTAAAGTGGAATACATTTGAATTTTTAACGATCATTTAATTGCTACCTCGTATAATTTTCTTAATTATGAAGTAAGAAATGAGTTTCGGTTAAGATAATCTACGTGAAAATCTTAGAAAATTGAAAACAACCCAAGTGGGGAGTAATTTGACAGAAGTTCCTGTATGGCTTTCAAAAATTTAGATACTAATTATGACTGGGACCTTTCCTCATAAAAATTTTCAGCTGTGAAATTATTTTTTTAGTTGAAAAAACGGCCATTAAACGTAAGATCAATTCTCGAATTATATGTCATAACAAAATAAATGACTGTTTCGAAATATAAAAAAGTAATTTCACAAAAGCCGTACATTCATCACCTTTGCATATCGAGGTCACTTTTCAAAAAATTAAAAGTTTTCCTATTTATTTATTCGTTTAAAAACATACAGGCTACAATTAAAATACATTACTATGAACTGACAAGGAAATTGAAAAAAGATTAAATAAATGCCGATGAATGCTTAAATAAATACAACTTATGACTCACAAGTCATCGACATCTAATTCCTTTACCGTTCCAATCTTACTCTACTCGTTTGGAGTAGTGAACTGGACTCGGGAGGAGCTGTATCAACTCGACGTAAACACCCGAAAAATGATGCATCTCTATAGAAGTTTGCATCCCAAATCGTCTGTTCCACGGTTGTACTGCCCCGACAACAGGGAGGCCGTGGACTTTTGAGTTTGGATTGTCTACGTGACAGAATGGTACTGGATATAGCCTGTAAAGTCGTCAGGAGTTCGGATCCCCTTCTCTGCATGGTCTGTGACCATGAGAGAGCAGGAAATGGAGCATTTCTCTTCAGGGCAGCTGCCCGACCAGCTGATGAACTCGGTTTAGTTTTCGATACTGAACGAGATGACCACAAGTCTGTCACCGACTTGTGGTCATGTGTTCAGCTAAAAGCTCATATAAAAGCCGCAGATTTCACCACATTTCTGCAGAAACACAAGGATAAACCAATGCATGGGGTCGTCTTCTTCAATAACATTGTAGACCTTGGCTCATCAAAGCGCCTGACTTTCGCATTCCTCAGGTCGAGTGGGCTGAGTCGGAAACTGGGGTTCATTAGGGTTCATTATGGCTTGCCAGGATAGTGTCTTCAAAACCTTAATCTACCGCAGTCGCGTGATGGGTATAGAGGTTCCTGACACAAGGTGCAGGGCCTGCCGCGGAGCGCCCGATATCCTAATGCACTTGCTATCAGCATGCCCAGTATATGCGGTCTCGTCCTATATCCATCGTCATAACGCGGCCCTTCGGCACTCTTACGGTATTGACGAGACACTGGTGCTGCCCTACGTTTCGGGGGATATTGAATTCGTTGTGGGGGACGAGAAGTGCCGATTTTATTGAAACTATTCGTTCCCCACCCTCAGGCTCATACAAGCTAATAAGCCTGATGTAGTCCTTCTCGACCACCAGAGCAAGACGATAATTGTCGGGAAGTTTTCAGCTCCTGGCGACACATATCGTCCGAAAAGAGAAGGAAAAAAGGAAATAATATCGAGATTTTCTCTTCGAACTCCGCAGACTCTATCCAGACCACTCTGTCAAGATGGTTGTTCTGATTATTGAAGTCCTTGGTGAAATGATGCCCTCTCTAATCTCGAATCTTAAAATCATACCGGCTTGCCGCACTAAGGCAGAAATCTTAGGCGCATAAATGCAGACGGCTGCCATTCTTGGCACACTGCGCTTGCTCAGGACACATGATTCTCGGACCCAATCATCACTTACCCCCCCTTACGGTGTGGGGAGTGGTCTTTGGTGGATAATGCTGGCGCGCCCTCCCGAATGTATCGGGGCTTCGGGGGATAGGGCCTGGTCAGCGCAAACTACGGTTAAAAATAATAATAATAATAATCTTACCGTGTAAGAACGTCGGGACGAGTGAATGTTTCTAATTTCATTTCAAATTATTCATACTCTTGATACTTATGTATTTTTTCAAAAACAGAGCCTTCAGACTTCATTTGATTTCAGGTATAAAATTTTCAAATTATTCTTTTATATTTTCCGTAAAGTGCACAAAAGAAAATTCTTTCAACTTTTTGGGAATCTGTTCACGCTTTTTTCCAAAAACTGTAGATTTTATATTTTTCATCGATATAACGTGAATTTATCTCAAGAGTTTTGAGATTTCGAAACGAGGGCTATCAGACAGTAACACTCCGTATAACGTTTGGTTTAAAGTCTACAGTGACTTACATCAATGTGTTCAAAACATATAGAATTTTAATGCTGTAACACCTTTTCATTTTTTAAATCCATGTTTTTGAATACGTTACAACTTTTCAAAAAGATATGTTATCCATATATAGCACTACAATAAAGGACCAAGCTGAATGTACCAGTTTCCAGAGTTTAGGAATCCAGAAATTGTTCGAATTGATTATATTATGATATGATAAATTACTTGATCATATAAAAAGTTGTCCAAACCTGTTACAATTTAAAAAAATATTTGAAACAATTTTTCATTGCAAAAAGGTAGATTGGACAATGTAGAGATATATATCTTTTTAGGTGTTGTACTTTATTTCATAAATTTTCTTTCAATCTGAGTGTTGTAAGGTATTCAGTTTAGTTATAGTACCATTTTATAATAGTAGGCACTGAATTCATTGGATTGAAACGAAAACATTATTGTCAAGGTTGTGTTCTATATATTTTTTAATCATTTTTCCTCATCTGTTTAGTATAATTCCCATACGCCACTGCAACAGACAGATTAAGGCAAAAACATCATTAATTTCTCAGAATTTAGTGTCTACTATTGTGTAATTATAGTATAGGCTAATTGAAAAACTACTCATACAATATTTGTAAATTGTTTTTTATTGGACAGTAAAGTTCAATTTTCCACTTTTGTATTTGATCAGTGAAAAATTTAATCAATAGAATAATTTTGTTATTATTTCGTTTTCAATTCATAATAACAATTTTGCTTCATTTCAAAGTGAGTAAATTCATTTAGGATTGATCCTTCCGGCCTTTGAATCCTCCGGTATATCTGTCCTTGAATTCTTCAGGTGTCAGATCGGTAAATTGGTTCACTCCTTGATAATATGACTCCTTCCCAGCATCATATCTTTTGTTATGCTCTCGGATTTTCTTCAGGTTCTCTTTGAAAATTTCAAATCGACGAGCCTCTTCACTAGAGGATTCGTAGGATTTTTCATGTTTTGACTGAAAAAAAAACATCAATGACTCCGCTTCTAAATACAAAGTTGTTAAATCATTCTTGCCACTGTACAAGTTATCACTACGAGGTCAATCAACTGGAACGATTTTCAAAGAATTAGGTACATGTCCCACATACCAGAGCAATGTCAAGTGGACATAAAATTACTAGGGTCAAAGAAATCGTCTCCAGGTTGAATTCGACGTCTACAACTGTCGAAAACGATAAGATCTGCAAATAGATTGATGAAAAGTTCCTGGTTTAAATCATGGTAGTTTCTCAAGAAGAAAGAAATTTTAGGAAACACATCATGTCGAAAAAAATAAATCACAGGTCATTAACATTTCAAACAGTCAATACTCTACTACACCAAAAACTGAATAGATTGTCGATGTCTAAAAGATGGCACAGGTTAACAACATCCAAAAGAAGGAACTACGCTAGAAAAAAACCGATAAAAACGTTGTGTAATAAAAGCTACGAGAGAAATATCTCGAAATCTGCAACAGTAATAAACTTTGTTGAATAATACGTGCCAGAACGATGAATATGGATTCTGAAGAATCCAGCCCATGGTCCAAGAATGAAATTAGAAAAAAATCAAATTGATCTGAACGGCGAATGGAGTTTGATCTGATGGGTAGCGGAATAATGCAGTTGTCAATGACATTTCCTTCAACTACACAACCTATCGTTCTTAAGTCCAAGATTTTCTAGACCAACTGCTAAGTAGTCCAGTAGGAAGACTCAAAATATGGCACTCTCTCATTACCCATGAAGCAACTGGCTATTTGTCATCCACCCTTATAACTGGTAGCGAGATGAATTTACCATTAGATTCACTACTACCATTAGATTCACGTGTACACGTGTATTCTAAATTATTGGCGGCCACTTCCATGAGAAATTTTTAAAAATGATGGGATATGTAACACTTACTCTGATGAATATGATCTCATGAATACATTCAATTGTCCAAAAGTCAAAATCAGTGAATTTTCTCTTCAAATTATCTGTATAATCGAAATGAAAATCATATTTTCAGTAAATTTATTGTTCAACAGTTTGTGGGTTGGTAATTGATCTAGTTATATACGAACAACCATTTGTTTTAATTATAAGCTGTCATTCAGTATCTCGTAAAAATTCAAAATGAGTGATAACGATCAAGACATTTTTGCTACCCCACCAGATATCACCGAGCAAGCAAATATTGGGATGAATAATTAGCTGCCAGCAAAATCGTGAGAAAATTACGAATATAATTTTGAAAATTTTGAGTTGGACAGAGAAGAAAAACATAACTTCGTTCTCATTAAGGAAGTTCCAGATTGTAAATATTTGTTTTCGAAGGTAACACAACTGTGTTTTTATTTCTATTCATTTTTTATGAACTTTTCGCAACAATTTTTTAAAAACTAAGACCCAACATAAAGGTGTAAACTGAATTATTCAACCTCACCAGCCTACAGCCAATCATATTTCATTTGCCAGACGCCTCTAAAGCAAAGCTTACTTCCGGTAATTCTATGAACTATAGAACTATAACAGCCAAGCAAAAGGATTTGAAAATATTTTACAGACCAAAAAATACCTGTTCGCACTTGTATTTGACATTAGTATATTTTTTAAAACTCTTCAAACTGATTTATTTACTCACAAAGTGAATATCACTACTCATATCTCAATCAAACATCAAATTGGTAATCGCCAGAGTAGCTCAGCGGTAACGCGTGTATATATTGCATGTATTTTCCTATACCCTGAGTTCAAATCCCACTGCTGGAATTCCTTTTTATGTGAATGATATAATTATATATTAGTGTAACTATAAATGTACATAATTATAAAATAATTTGTAGGAAATATTGTCAATCGTAGAAAAAGTATAGTACGCACTTCCAGGATTAGACCAATTACGTCCACTCGCGAATTATTGTACTCGGCTAACGCCATATGCTTACAATTTTTCGCTCGTGGGTAATTGGCTCCTTATCCTACTCAGTACCTAATATACTATTTATCCGCCAATGGGTTTATTATGTCAGGTAAAAATTTGTCCTTCGTTCAGTGGCAAACAACATTATGTTTAAAGCCAAGACCTGGCTGACTTATATAATTTGAAAGGGATGCCTAGTTCTCTTCTTCTCAGAGGAATAGAGCAAGTGTCATATGTTTTAGTGGCTCCTATATATATTGGTGCCCTTACCTCACCTTTAGGGTTCCGGGTTCAGAATCTATTATCTTTATTTGTTTCAGGAGCAATAATATGTAGGGAATTAGTGAATGATTTCCTGAAACCATTTGGATGGGGAAAATCTGTATATCCTAAATATAGAGTTTGTGCAAGGTTTTGACACCTAAGTTTTTATCGAAGACTGCTAATATTTTTGAAATGTACTAATAGTGAAAACCTCATGATACGATTTTGGTGCAATTTCATATAATTTGTCAGCTCTTCATTGATTATTATGCTAAAACATATTTTATTATCTATTTCTCAAATTCGATTTCTGCCGATTAAAATTTTCCCGTATTCGGAGCATTAGACAGAGCCATTCCCAATTTGGTGTTAACATTCATGATTACGATTTGAAATTACTCACTGTGGAATATGAAATGCCCAGTTTATTAGTAGTGAAAACAGTTATTTGTGTGGTATAGAACAATTGAAGCCATTAAAACTTTTCAATTAACATGAACTGTCAAACGATAGTTGTTCGTCATCAATCGGCCCCAAAATCTAAGATCTAGCTCTAGCTATCTCTCTTTGATGTAGCGAGTGCAATCTATCCTTCAAACAAGAGTTTTGTTTCTGATCAATGCAAACGTTGATTGTATTGTCTTCCTTTTTCACATGAAGAAGAAAAGGATGATATATGAAATTATGTGTTTTATCGGGTATTTTATTGATGACGCATCCAAATTCTTTAGGATCCTAACTGTAACAAACATATTATGCATACAGACTAAGTTAACAACTGTCCTGAACTAGTGACGTGATTTATAATCACAGTCATGAAAGCGCATATAGGAAACAATGAAGACACCGCATTAAAGGTGACCTAATTCACAGATCTACTTGTTATCTTATGAAATGGAAATAAGAAATACATTTTAATTAAAACTTACGTTCAAGTCCAACTTACCTTGAACTTATTCCACTCCTCTTCATCGGACAAAAGTTGAGCCATTGCAAATGCTACTACGCACAAAAATACCAATATTCTCAAATGCATTCTTATCAAAAAGATTCGATATTACTGCTGTGACTGGCTGATAATTCGACACTGATGTTTGTCATGTTGAATATATATCAGGAAATTATCAGATGTGCTTCTCCCACGACAGTTGATTCTTGAAATCCTTCAATATCAAAACATTCATCTGATGATGAACAATCAACTTTTCAAACATGTTTTTATAAGGCAGATTTGAATGATTTTGTTGGGCTACTACTTTATTTCAACATATTCAACGAATTTGCATTCATGGAAGCCTTTTTCATATAGATTTACGGATTGCAGTGCTGTACAAATAACGTCAAGAATACGAGGAAGTAGAAATTTCAAGGCCAAAAAATGAGAAAAACAAAACATAATTGAACGAATTAGAGCTACAGAATCGTATATCAAATGTAACGAAAATTTAACTGAATACTTTAATATATCGATAAGATAAAAGTTTCTATGAACCGCTTAGACATTTTTTTGGATAAGCAAAATTATCAAATTCGACAAGTTACTTGTGAAGATCACATTTTCCTTTGAGAAAAATATATTGATTTTACGATGTAATTTTTTCTTACTAGTTTTTGTGTTCATAACTTTCCACAGTCTAAAAAATATACAAAGCTAAATCAATAAATAATATCTATTATGTGATAGAATACTGACCTAAAAGTTCACCCCGAGAAGTTACTGCGTAAAATAAACCGCTGAAGAGTCCAATTGGTCAGTCATTCTTTGTACGAATCACATAGTTGATGGATGAAAAGGTAACTTTATTTTATGAACACTCCTTTTTTCCCGCAGCTAGCGCCCCAGTCGGAACATTTAAAAATCCTTTCTATTGCACATCTACAACATAAAATGAACCAACATACAAAATTTCAGCCTCCGAAAATATACCGGTACGGTATACGGTAACCTTTAAAACAATTACCCAGCAACGAAACTCCAGGAATGTACCCTTGGTAGTAGGAGAATGGATACTTAAGATGCTCTCTAGCAGAGCAATAAGTATTAATGTAGAAGACATCACAGTGAAAGGACTGGTCATGAGGGGATGTCCACAGGGACACCCCTCCTTTGGAACATAGTTCTGGATACCCTGAATAATTACCTCAACAATAATGGATTCTATACAATTGCATATGCAGATGATATAGTTATCTTGCAGACCGGCAAATTTGTGAACACAATGTGCGATAGACCGCAGGATGGGCTCAAATTATTAGAAACATGGCGTAAGGAACACTTACTGTCGATCAAAAAAAGTTTATCGGGGTTACCTCCCGAAATCTTCAGAAGCAAGCTAAACTTCTCTGAAGAGGTGAAATACCTTGACATGAAGCTAACATGGAACTCCCAACTACAGAGTAGAGCAAAAAGAGCATATGTGGCTTATGAGCAATGTTGGTGGTCAGTGGGATGCACATGGGGTCTTTCATTCTGTTTGGTCACCTGGATCTACACTGCAATAATAATACATATGTTAACGTACGGAGTCATTGTACGGAGAACGAAAGTTCTACAAGCATCACAGGAGCTATGAGAACAACACCAACCGCGGCAATGGAATTAATTACTGGTCTGACCCTTCTGGACCTGTAAGTTAAAGAGGTTGCGTTAATGGCCATGTTACGATTGCGCACGGCTGGTGTAAACCTAGAAGTAGGAATGGTTCAATTGAGGCTAAGCCTATGGCGAGAAGCGCTTACTGCGCAACCTCTGCTGCAGGCACCCAAGTCTGTGTTTAATAAACCCTACGAGATACAAATAAAACAGAACACATAGTCAGATGCTACAAATACAATACGCATATATACCAAAGTCTCAAAAACCAAGGAAGGCTCAGGATGTGGAGTACTCCAAATCACTAAGCCTAAGAATTAAGTGGGGAATGGGAAAGAATACCAGCGTGGTTCAAACAGAACTGGCTGGTATCTCAATCGCCACAAAAGAAATAACCAAGAAAAGAATTTCTGACAAAAAAAAATAACAATTTGCACTGATAGTAGACAAGACCTATTATTCCTGAATAAACGTGTTACCTCAGGGCTAGTTCTAGAGTGCCACCAATATTTAGCCATAGCCTCGGTAGATAATAACATTATCCTGAGGTGGGTTAAAGGGCACGACAGGAGTAAAGGTAATCGCGTTTCCGATTCTTTAGCCAAGGAAGCGGCCGGACTAAGAATTTTAGGACCCAGCGATTCCTACGGTCTGATGACTTCGACAATTGCGGAACTAGCCAAACGTCACATCCATGCTTAATCTCCAAAGAGATGGGATGGAATCAAAGGATGCAATCTTGCCAGGATCACCTTTGGCGACCCTGGGAAGCTGGCGCCAAAGAAATATCTGGCGATGACCAGAAAAAACCTACGCTCAACAGTAGGTTTTCTGAGTGGTCACTGTCAACTAAGAAAACACTTCCATATTATGGGGCTAGTGGACAACACCTCCATGCAGGATGTGGCCTAAGTGCTATAAGTCTACACTCACCCTCTTTACTCTACATATACAGATACTGGTACGGAGAAACAGTGATAAAAAGGTAATTTTCATATGGCGCGTCTCTAGGGGTACGCCCCAGTTGGAATATTCAAAAATCCTTTCTTATTTCACATCAAAAACATAAAACGAACCTACATACAAAATGGCAGCCTCCAAAAATATAGCGGTACGGAGAACCAGTGATGAAAAGGTAATTTTGATATGTAAACGCGCCCCTTTTACCTCCACAGGGGGCGCCCAGTTGTAATTTTTTAGAAAATTATTTCTTAGTGCGCATCTAAGACCTAAGAACCACCTATATACCAAATTTTGGGTTCCTAGGACTAACCATTACGGAGAAACAGAGATGATTGATTGTAACGTTAAAAAGAAGCCTGCAGCCTGATCATACTTTATTGGAAAAACCTACGGTTGTAATTTCATTTGTTGTCCAAATACATGTATACAGTGCATTGCAGTTGAAACGTACCACTCTGAATAAGTCATTTGATATTGAGACTGTAAAAAAACGTGAAAGCCGTCAACTCTACTTTTCAAGGAGACACATAAAAGTCAGTCACCCTCTGACTCATATAACAAATCACATGAAAACCAGTTTAAATAGAATTAATATTCGAGCGACTGCTTATTTGAAAGGTCTTTTATCTCGGTATTCAATACTGCAACATTTTTGATATTACAACGAAAACCAATGTCAGGAAAAAAAGAAGTACCTACTTTTCAAAGTTTGTATTCGATTTCGAAGAAGAAGGTGAAACTGACCGTCATTACCTTGCATACTTGTGATGCACTATGTGGAACCTTTGGTGTAGTAACCTCCATCAAGACAGCGCATCGTGTCACCGTGGACCAATGTTTTTTTCTTTGCCGTATGCGGTAGTTCCTTTGCAATTTAGGTCTTCAAGCGCCCGAATAAAGTTATATTAAATTCACTGTTGGTGTTATTTCCCTTCTCAAGATAGTCGATGAATATTACACCACGCACAGCCCAAAATACCGAGGTCATTAACTTTCCAGCTGATTGTTGTGATTTCGGCGCGGACGAGGTTCACCAGTTGTTATGTTTGAACTTGGCCAAACACTACTTGTTTTTGATTCATTGTGAGCTCGCGCGGCACCCGCTTTGAACAGAGGTTTTTCATAGTCAAATGAACATGCAATATAAAGCTAAGATGTTCTTTTGATATTTTTACGTCAGCTAACTCACGCAACTTCACTTTTCGATCATTCAAAACGATTTTGTGGATTTTTTTTAACGTTTTCTGGTGTTACTGTCTCATTTGGACGTCCACTGCTTTCTGCATCATCGCGGTGTCTCTACGACCACGTTCGAAGTCAGCAAACCAACATTCAGAACAAACTTACCCGATACAAGTAATGATGGAATTACTAGGATGCTGTGTAAGAAACTGCTACTTTCAACTGAAGGACGAATTCTTTACGCAAGATGAGGGACTGCCAATGGAATCGCCACTTTCACCGATTATAGTCAATATAATATATGGAGAGGTTTAAAACCCTGGCCATTGAAGAAGCCCCGAGTCTGGTTGAGATACGTGGACGACACCTTCATAATATGGAACCATGGGAACGCAGAACTAGACACCTTCCTGAAGCACATCAACAACGCAAGTCCTTCCATCACTTTCACAATGGAGAAGGAAGTCCACAACGAATTGCCATTCTTAGACGTATTGGTGAAGAGGACCTACACGAAATGGGAAACGTCTGTGTTTTGAAAACCCACTCACACAGGACAGTATCTGAACCAGGAATCCAACCATCATCAATCAACTAAGAGAGGAATCATAAAGGCTCTACTAGACCGTGCTTTCGGGCTCTGTTATACAAAGGAAGGTCTTGAAAAGGAACTAAGCACCATCAAAAATGACCTTCAACAAAATGGTTACTCCAAAGTGATGGTGGAACAGGCTTTAGCGAGAAGACAGCAAGAGCTCCACTAGGAAGAGAAGCCGCCACAACCAATACTTGTACTTCCCTACATCAGAGGATTGTCGGAAAGGATAAGAAGACTTGGATCCAAGTATGACATCAGAACCTGCTTCAGATCTGGGAACACTATCCGTAGCAGCCTCACAAAAACCAGGCCACCAAACTCGGACTGCGATTGCAAGAATTGCATTTACCGGATACCCTGCGAGTGCAGAGAATCATACATCGGTGAAACTAAGAGACTATTGAAAGTTCGCATTGCCAAGCATAAGAAACACACATAGCGAGGAGAAATCTGCGAATCAGAAATAGCAGAGCACGTTTGGACTCGTCAACATAACATCAAGTGGGCTCAAGCTGAAATCATCCACAAGGAGGTTTAGAAGAAAATTCAAAGAAGCAGCATATATGTTGTCCAACAACGCATTTAGCCACACTAGCATAGAGCTCTAACACACTAGCATATGCTCTAATCAAGCGGAACACGACCAGCTTCCGCCAAACCGTCAGCTACCGCTAAAACCGATGAAGCGGAGAGAGGGAAGAGGTGATAGGTGAAAGCACTCGAATGACCTATAAATAGTCAGATCTCTGAGGAATAAGTTCAAATCAGCTGCAAGGGTAAGGGAGCTAGGCTCCAACCTGATTGAACTGAGGATGAGCTTGGTCTGAGTAAGTCCAGTTATCACCCAAAGACGATTGTGGATACTAACAATCAAAACGTCGTCATTTCTTGTTAATTGTTCAACTTTCAAGTGTTGCTTGTATTTTATCTCATTGTAATTTCAGTTTTTTTGCTCAATATAATTGTTATTTTTTCAGTTAACCTCTTTTAATTTTTTATAGATTCTTTCAGGGATTTCAAATCAATTTATATCATACTAGTACTATGTTGCTGTATCGCTGCTGTTCCAATGTTTTGACATAAGCAGAATCAACGAATTTAGGCGTGCGCAGCGTTATAGAACAGTGCCCGAGAATACCTACCACAGTATTCTCGGCCAGTGCTTTCAAAAAATTGTTCTACAGCGCCATGTAGTGGCGAGTTACAGAAAAATTGATAGCCTAAAAACCTTCTCTATGAAAAATTACTTATACCTACATGTCAAATTTCAACACGATCGGTTGAGCGATGTAGAAGTTTATCACTTACCAACCAACCAACCAACAAACATCCATTTTTATATATTAGATTAGACAATGCAAGTCCAAACTGATGAAATGATCATTCAGTTGTTTCTGATGAAGCGAAGTCCTTATAACATATTTTTTCCCATCAAGAAACACTGTAAAATTTAAACACGAAATTTTTTTTATAATTGGTTCTGAAAGTAACAAAAATAGTGTCACTCTTAGCACAATAACTCACTAACTTATGAGTATAATATCATGAAATTTCAACAGCTTTCTTTTGAAGTTCAGTACGAACTGAAAAAGTGGTGAATGCAATAGACTAACGCCATCTATGTGTTAGGCCCGAGACCTTTCAGCCCATGTTACATATTATGATGTGTAAGTTCATGTATGGCATTCATTTCAATATCGTCATGAATGTTTGTAGTGCAAGATGAATGAGAAAAAAATTATATTCCTGTAATTCAATTTTCATATTTGAAAGTTGTATTTTCGAGTGGACTTTCCCTTTCAGATTGTATGAGAAAAAAACTTCAGTGTATGAATCACACATTTTTTTATTTGAAGAGTTTTTCTTAAAGTATTTGATTTTTTCTTCGATTCTTCAGCAGCTTCCCGAACATTTTTTTTCGATTAATCTATACAGATTGGAATTTCTGATTTGTTGACAATTTCTGGAAATTTAATCAGATGTGGGATTATGTCATCCTGAAATCATCATTTTAGGATATATAGCTTATTGCTCTTTTCTGGCTGATTGCATTTTTGAAAGCAGAATCACAACAAAACTTTTAGAGGATGCAAAATATATATTTACTACTGAACAATAAAGGTCATTCACAACAATGAAACAAGTATAAAGAATCAAATATTTAATACTAACATAATTAAGGCATGTTACAATCATATGTATGTTGCCCCAAACAAGCACAAAAACCCCTAATTTGGAGGTGATAGTAAAAAGGCACTGTCCACTTGGTCTCTATCAAAATTTTATCATTTTCATCATAATTATATATATGTATATAAATATATACCCTTTCATTTACAGTATTACCATGTACAAATTAACAATATATTTTCAACCTATGCATTTCGTAACTATAAAATTAAAATACTAAGTGATAATTTTCACAATTACTGTACCTGAGTGCAAAACAAAACTAAAGGATGAGAATCAATCTAACCCATACTAAAAATTGACTAAAAAAGACCAATAAGTGAAGTTTTTACAAGGATTGGTAGAGCTACATCTGATCACCATCACATCTACAATTTTTAAGCCAATGACAGAAATGTAGATATATCACTGCCAGCTTTTCTAATAAGACCCGTTTAGTTATGAATTAGATTTTGCGATAGCATCACGAGTTTTTATCATCCTTTTTGGCAGACGTACTTTTGTGTTCCAGTGATAAAAATCGTCAGTCTAAGTGAGAAAATGAATACAGGCTTTTTAAAAAAATGGATACACGTTATTGTGCTGATAGAGCACTAAGAAGACTATAGCTGGAACTAGATGCCTAATTGGAAACTCTCAGAAATCTTGGAAAGCATACTGGTTAATGCCTTTAAGAACTGCTTGAAATGAAGAATGATTTTTGAAGTTCCGCTTCAAGACCTTTCATGGAGACTGACAGAGATATGAAAAATTATTTAATCTGTAGAGTATAGGGACTACATGAAAAATATTTCATAGAAGTGAATAGAATTAGAAGGCAGAATATTCATTTTGTCGACGTTGAAAGCGTTAACTTTGCTATAATATTTAATGGTTCCAGGGAAAGATAAAAAAATGAGAAAACTCCTAATGAAATAATTGATAATGAACCTCAGTCCCATGCTGAGTTTTTAGGGTGTCATTTTATTTGGATACCAATTATGACTGGGATTTTTCTTACCCAAACGCCATCCACTTTTTGAAAAAGTGAAATCTATCTTCAAAGGTCATACATTCTCTTACCGCTTTTGTGAACCTAGTTTTTTTTATAAAAAATTGTGATTTACTGGGTCATGCCGTTCAAATTATTTGGTTGTTGGGGCGGTAAAAGTAAAATCAACCACACAGGCATAACGTACTTAGAAAAACACAGTAATATGAGATTTCCACATGAAACTTCACAAAACTGTGACACGTGTTTGGCTATACAATAACATCTACATAGCATATACAATAGCGTGCATAGCATCTTCGGATGTACTGTGACGCCTAAAGATGCTATAGCGAAACACCTGTCACGATTTTATAAACTTTCAAGTGTAATATAACATTATGATGTGTTTTTTGAATATTTTATAAAGAAAATACTCTGTATTCCGGTGCCATATTTTTGTATGTTTAGCTAGGAAAGATCTTAGACGTAATTAATATCTAAACTTATGAAAAAGAACTTTTAGCAAATTATTTCCTGAAAACTAATTTTCAAGTTCAGAATTATGAAAGTCATGTATTCAAAACACAAAACCGCGACACGTGTTTCGCTATACGATGGCATCCTCAGGCGTCATAATAATCCTACAATACGCCTGATGATGCTATTATATAGCGAAACACATGTTGCGGTTTTGTAAACTTTTTCATCAAGTGTTGGTCATTTATGAAAGTCATGTATTTTCAAGAGGTATTAAATCCCCCAACAAATTCAGCATAGGCTTACGCAGTATTACGAAAATCAAAATAAATAATTCATGAACGATATTTGGAAAGGTTGTTTCTTATGAGCGGGGAGAAAGTTGCGGAAATGGAATTGGCATAGATGAGACTAAAATTCTGAAGGATACCCATACAGATACAGTCATTTCAAATAACTTGAATAAAAAATTGAGGCTTTCACATATTCAGATAAATTAACGAAAACTAGACCTCATATATTGATTTTTGCTGTTATGGAAAAATGAAATGAGGAGACGTAGAAAAAAAAATTAGATACCATTTCTACATTCGTCCTACCAGTGGACAGATCAATATTAGAGGCCGACTAATGTAATCATCTTTTCATGTTACTGGCTAATTTTAACAAATTCGTTTCTATCAGACGTTTGTCGTCTACCACTCCGCTTGTCTAATATTCACCTACGGGGCATTCAAAATATTTTTGAGCAAAACGGTTCTTTGAGTCTTGGGTCCCAAACAGGTCTTATTTCCATTTTGAAAATCCCCCAGGTGAACAGGTGTTCATATACAGGGCGAGTCATTGTTCAAAAAAATAACAAAGGACTATAAAATACTGTTGGCTGGTACAATTTTCGATGCAAACTGAATGAACACATAATTTTCTTGAAAACGAAACTCGCCTTGCATAATAATTCAGGTAATAGAGAAGAATAAATATTTTTAAATACAAAGCATTCATATGAAATAAATATAAAATTCCATAATTATTTAATAGTGAGCCGGTTGCATTCAACAAATAAATTTCAACAAACTAAGGAACGTGTCTTCATTTCACGTAATTAACTAAACAGCAGATTCCATTTTGGAATAGTTTATTTCGCAATAGGAATATCCCAAAATGAGAGTTTGGTCAGCAGCACCAGATTTCAAACAATGTTCCCAGTAATTTCATAGTCAAAAACATATTGCAACCGTCCCATCAATCAACGTGATACGCTGTTACGATCTCTTAAAATCCGTATAAAAACATTTTATACAGAAAACGAGAAGTATACAATTTACAAAAAATTTTCTATATTTTGTTTTATATATTAGTAATAATATATACAATTTTTTGGTATTTTTCTTCATTTATTTAGCATTCACTCTAGGAAGTGCACTTTAAACAGTTTTTTCAGTGAAATAAAAATGGAAACGGTATACTGATTGTTTTCTATAGGAAAGGCAATCGTAAAAGTGTGGTGAATTTCTGACAGTTTGGCCTACATTTCATAAACATTTGAATAAATCGAAAATTGGACTAAATCACACATTCTTCAGTTGCATATTTATTCAAAATATTATAATTTCGCACATGATAAAACAGTTGAACCATGATTTTGAAAAAATTCAGATGGTACTCAAAATTCTAATGTAGTTCCAAATTTTCATAAAGTTCTCAACGGCCTCTCAGAAATTCACATATCTGAAGATTGATTGTAAAAGTAAAACTCCTAATGAAAAATAATGCATTACTTTAAAATTCTTCAGGAAGAAACCCTGTAAAAACTGTCAAGAAACGTGTATCACAGCCTTCTAAATTGTTTCAACCATATCATTTTACACCACCTTATGAAAACAAACAACGTACCTGGGAAAAAAACAAAAATTTCTCTAAATGGAAACCTAATCTTTGTCTCGCCATTTTTATCACATTCAGATTTTTCTGGTAACAATTACATTTTTACTTCCATTCGATTTACACACACTATATCAACTAAGATTGGACTCACACATCCAAACCTTGACTAACACCTAAATCACATACAAACTAACAAAACAGTAACTATAAATTGAAGAAAAGAAATCAGATGGCCTAACAGAGGATCTTTTTTCTTCCCTTTCCAATGACGGCGGTGGAGGAGGAGCCACATGCGTTTTTCCTGATTTTTGATTGAGGCGTATCAGGGTGTTCAGATATATCTTCCAGTTTTCGCTTCCTCGTCCTGTTTGGTAGAGATATGAACTCCACTGGCGGTTCTCCGTCAATCTCCAACCTAGTTCGTCTTATCCTTTCGCTCTGCCTAGTTTGTACGTAAACCTTCTTCTGTCTTTTCTTCCTTTCCTTGTTGCTGTCGATGGAATTCTTGTCTGATACCACAATGCCACTAGAACTCGTAGACTCGCGTATCGTTTCACTTGTTCTACTCTCACACTTGCTGGAGTCCGAAGTACGTACACTGTAATTCGACAATGAAACGTTAGAGTTTGTGGGGTTAGAGGTGATTGTTTGTAAGTATTCGGTGACGCGGTTCTCGCTATTGTCTTTTTCTTGCTGCGTTGAAACAACAGTTTCGTCTTTGTTGGGTGCATTTTCAGTCTTTTTGGGTTCGAGAGATAGTTTGGGTTTTGTGAGGGTGTTGGAACTCTTGAGAGAACCTTCACTCGTGAATGATGAGGAAGAACTGTTGTTCTCTGATGAACTTTTCTTCTTGCGCCTACGTTGAGCGAGTTTGGCATTCAGAACGTCCTGTAACCTGTAAGCAAAACATTAATTCAATGATGTAACCAACGAGTATCGAATTACAGTAAACTCATTCTGATTGACTATCACTCCAAATAATGAAAATAATAATAATAATGATGTTTATTTATGAATATACAACAGCACAAGACAGTAACATAAAAATAATGCAATACAAACAAACATGGATAAACCCACTAAAACCGAAGTTATGCGTGAAAATTCTTCAGTTACGCAATGCATAACTGATGTGCAGTATTGATTTCACATTTAAACATGTTGTAGTGAAACGAGAAATGACAAAAAAAATTAAGATAATCTGATCATATTGTTTTTCAATAATGATAACAAGGTCTGCTATGAACAAATTGTAGGATATTTAACTAGTGATTTTAACAGTATTTTCTGTGCAGATTACGGAAAAAATAGTAAAAAATTCTGTCACCTATAGATAAGTCACAAATTTAACCTGAAATTTTCTTACCAAATGGGTTTTTAAGTTCGGTAAGGGTTCGATGTTTCTGTATTATATAGCCTATACCGATTTAGAGAAAGGGAATTTGTCCCGGCGTCATGGAAATGTTCAACATAACGTATGAACCAGAGAAATGGAGACTTTCCATTGATTCACCAAAAAGAAGTTTGAAAGCTGTACTTCTTCGCAATGGGAACCCATATGCTTCTGTGCCTGTTGGACACTTCATTTGAAAGAATGCTACAAAAATCTTGAATTTGTTATTAACAAGCTCAGCTACTCTGATCATAAGTAGACCATTTGTATTTCAATGTTACTAGGTCAACAAAGTGGTTACACTAAGTTTCCATGTTTCTTATGTGAATGGGATAATGAAATCCTTCAGTTATGTTTAATCCCCAGTTCCAACAAACCTACTGCTGGAATGTTGGGAGCAGTTCATTATTATTTTGAGAAAATTTTATTTCAGTCTGAATCATCATCTATGAAAAATAAAAAGCCTGCGAATGTGTAAGAAAATTATGAAAAAAATCCTTTACCTGAATCCCTCTCTCTGCGCTTGGTGGAAGGCGTTGAAGGTTGTCTGCAAGCTCTTTTCCGCCGAGCTTCCCAGCACCTCAGGAGTCATAAGCGAAGTTTGTGAGAAGTTTTGACTGCCCTGTACCCAAGGATTGTTCTGGAGATCGGACATCCTCAATCGTAGCGCAGGATTGACCGTTAGCAGTCCCTGGACAACCTGCTTCGCCTCGTTGCTGACGCCCTGCCAAGTGGGAGAATCGAAATTGAAATCACCCTCCTTGATGCGTTCCATGATCGAAGTTACACTCTCGTCGGTAGACCTGGCGTGGAAAGGAGCCTTACCGCAGAGCATAGTGTACAAAACCACCCCAAGACTCCACAAATCGCAGTTTTCGTCGTACCCTTCGGGATCACCTTTCAGTACCTCAGGGGCAGCATAATGTAGAGTGAAACAAGGCGTGTGCAAGGACTCCTTCTCTTCCTTCAACCTAGCGAATCCAAAGTCTATGATTTTTATTTCGGCGTTGTCGTCTTTCGAAGTGAAGACCAAGTTCTCCGGTTTCAAGTCGCGATGCACAACACCCCTCGAATGCATGAAACTCACAGCCGAAACGAGCTTCCTGAGAATGCTGGACGCCTCGGACTCTGTAAATCTCGACTTCATTCGTATTCGATCAAAGAGCTCACCGCCCTTTAAATACTCCAACACGAGGTAGGTGTAATTCTCGTCTTGGATGAACTCGTGAAGGGAAACTATGTTGGGGTGATCTTGACAGGCTCGTAGGAGATTCACTTCCTGGGTACAGTCGCGCGCTTTGCTAACGATCTTGACGGCGAATTCTTTACCGGTGGACTTTTGCACGCATCTTCTGACTATGGAGAAAGTTCCGTCTCCTATGATTTCTTCGCCGAAATTTACATCGTACGACTGGAAGAACTGACTGTTTCCGAGAGCGAAGTTTTCCAGATTGTCGTGCTCTCGTTTCGGATGGAGAATATCTTCGGAAATGACGTTTTTGCTCAGGAGAACCGACGGAGCAACGTAGGAGTAGCCCTTGAAGATCTTTCCATAGTTTACGGGAACTGAGGATGGTGAGTCAGTGGGGGGCATGGCTGTAAATTCCTCGCTGAAGTTGGAAACATCCAGTTCATTTCTGTAAAAACAATATGATACATCAAAATACCTCCTCTGCATTTTCTTCATCAAGTTGGAAACCGAATCATGAGATAATTTAACTTTTTCTATTTCGAACGTAAATTTATTCACAGATCACTAATTTCATATTGATGCTAATTAAAACTGCACCGAAAAACAAACGAAAAATCACTCTACTCACTTTATAATTGGTTTGAAAGGAGCAGGAATTTCTTTCCTGGCAAGTTTGTCCCAGTCTAAACCTCTGAAGAAACTGTGCCGTTTCAGTTCATTGGCGTCTTCTTCTCCACCTCCCAAACGTTTCCTAGGGTCTTTTACTAAAAGTTGTTTAATGAAATCCGCTACGTCAGCTCCCAGTGCTGAAAAAAAAAACTATTTTGAAACAAACTTGTCAGAAAACCCATGAAATTTAAATGGTATCAACTTTATTATAGTCCTTAAGAATTATAATAAGAGGACAACTATTATGCACAAAAACAAATGTTTGTAACAAATGTTTGTATCTTCCACTTTTTCCAGAAAAAAACAATTGAATTTTGGAAAAATGCAACCGTGTATTGTCAGTCCCGAATATCAAAATTTAAGTATCCAAAATTCGACATTTCATAATGCATGTGTTACAATGGTTGGAAATGAAATAGAAGTACAAAATATGGCAATTTATTTGAATATTGTGTTCTCAATATTGATATATTCAATATTTTTTCATTATCCAAATGTTGTAGATATCAAAAAACTAAACAAAAAAGTTGAGTATTAATAAATATTGATTGTAGCTCTTGTTTAACGTGGCATTTTTCGACTAGCCAAGTTGTTCCGATTATAATTTGACGAAGATCATAATAAAAATTGATAAATACTTGCTAAATATTGATTCGAGTAAATTTTAGAGAAATCGAAACGATATTTGTATGAACAGGAAAAATAATTTGGATGCTTGTGTAGATGAAGAAATCTCGGTTCTGATTGTAGCTAAACAAAGAAGAATTCCCGTTGAATAAATTATTCAGAGATGTAGTTGATTATAGTACCAAAATGAAATAATACTCAATTGATTTTCAAGAAAAAACTCTTATTTTCATTCCTGAAACAAAAAAATTAAGAAGTACATTCAAAGCTAGACGAGAAAGAGTTTGTTAAAGAAAGTTCGATTTATTTTAGGAAGCTGAAATATTGATCAAGGCAAAAAAATGACAATTGACCAATTTGGTGATGTCTGGAACGATTTATGATCATAATCTAATTGAATATGTGATTTGAAGAGGCTTTCTAACAATTGTAATTTTCAGTAAGGCTGTAATTGAGAAATATGTGATTGTTTTTTTTCTTCTGCAGATACTATGTTGTACTGATATTGCTCCACCAAGAGGATTGCATAACTGTTTGGACAATATTTGCTACTATTATCAAATAACACTTCTGTTGACTATATTTTACTAAAACAATTATGAAACTGCGTTAGAATGAAAATTAACAGAATAATTGTATTACCGAAGTCATTTGAAACAACTCCGAATTTGCCATTTTTTCATTTTTGTTTTTTATATTATTCGAAATCGGAAAACGTTTGAAGCGATGAGAGACTTTACTTTAAGAATATGTATGATATTTATATGAGAAATTCAATTTTGCGTGGATATGTTTATTTATACTCCAATCGATTACTTATTTGAAGAATATATGCCTATAAATTGCATTGACAGGCAAGCCCTATTAGCCTTGAACAGACAACGTGTTACCTCAGGGCTAGTACTAGAGTGCCAAAGATTTAGCCAAAGATTTAGCCAAAGCTTCGGTAGATAATAACATTATCCTGAGGTGGGCTAAAGGGCACGACAGGAGTAAAGGTAATCGCATTGCCGACTCTTTAGCGGAAGGAAGCGACTGGACTAAGAATTTCAGGACCCAGTGACACTTACGACTTGATGACTTACACTCACCCTCCCTACTCCACAGATGCCTATAAGAGAACAGCAAAAATAAAAATAGGGTCAATAGCGTCATTTGCAAAAAACTGTCAGAAAATGACATTGACTGGATTCAAACCGAAAGTGATGTGGATCATTTGATTGTACAATCAGATCCAGATAGTAACAACGCTCATGATGTAATTGCTGTAGCAGAGAGCACTGATGTGTTATTGGTATTGATTGCACCTGATAATGAACAAGCCAAAAATAATGCCTAACGAATATTCTAATTGGATAAGTAGAAATTGGAACCACTGGCGTGAAATTTAACTATTTTCTTAATCATCATCATCAGACAACATTTTAATATTTTGCTTTGTAAGGAAAAAGTGTTTTCGATAGGTTAAAAATCCTTGATCATGCATACACTGTACGTTATACCACAGTAGAAAGGTTATAATGTTGTTATACTACATTGTAAGGACGGTAACCTGGTGTGTTGACGTGGATGATCAGTTTCACTCAGACAATCGACCGATGTGCGAACCGGTGGTTCAAACCGCAAAGCCGGACGATCGATTTTCACTTCCTATCGTCACACGTTAGAAGGTAAGACCTCGTTAGTCCTTAGGTCGCATAAGTTTCGAGTTGTAACAGATTCATTGCTTTTATAATAAAAATCATTTTATTTTCTAATAGTTTCATCGTCATGTTCGTTACCTTCGACAGAGGCTACAGAAAAATAACATATTAAAAGAGTATACTTGCAAGTTCAGCAATAGAAAACTAACGGTCTATATAATATCTCTTAAAAAAGGGATTGGCCGCGGTGGTAGTGCGCCCGACTCACGATCGGAAGGCCGTGGGTTCGATCTCCGCCTCGACCAGATATTTTTCTCGAACGAATTTATCTGGTTGAAGCTGGGATGATTCTGCAATCGTGTTAGGAATCACACGTTGAAAGGTAAGACCTCGTTAGTCCTTAGCTCGCACAAGTTTCTCAACTTCTGAGAGTTGTTCGTATGGGGGCGACAGCTGATTAACGGAAAAACAGATTTTAAACAGATTTGTATTGGTTCTTTTGGGGATTTCAAATCATTTCATATAATATTAGACAATGGAAGTCCGAACTAATGAAATTCATCATGAAACCGTTGTCAATCACCTTCAAACACCCCTTAAAAGTATTTATTGACGCGACTAATTGTTTTCACCGAAAAAAACTTACAATCAGGAATTGGGGGAGTAGTCCTCAATATCCTCCTGGAGATCTCCTGCTGGTGATTCCTTTCGCCCTCCACGGTGAAGGGAGACGCCCCGGTGAGCAACTCGTACGTCAATACCCCTACGGACCACCAGTCAACAGCCTGGAAACAAAAAAAAAACAACTGTAAAGAGAAAATCGTTTTTGCGACAATATCGTTCGAGAATCAGTTTCATTTCGGTCGTAAAGTGAATGCCAGCCCACTGAAAGGACAACCTGTTGGATGACAATATTGTGGATAGGTGTGTTGGATGAAGAGTATATTATGTTCACTGGCGAACAAAAACATGTGAACGTTGAGGCTGTTGATGGAATTTTGTGTAGGGGAGAGAGGAACAAAAAGTGTGATTATGTTCAGCTTGTTGAAGCTGTATCTGTCAAATTAGTTGTAATTTATTCAGTGTGTTTTGCCAAGCCACCACGTACGAATATAGCAGTCAACAACGCGTGCGAATAATAAAATTGTTTTATCAAAATGGAAGTTCTGTTCAGGCAACATACCGCGCACTTCGCCCATTTTACTGTCGCCATAATCGTCCGCTCTAGAGGTCTATTCGAAATGTGGTGAATTAATTTGAGTCTACTGGTTCAGTAAACGATGTACCAACACCAGTACGTCGACGAAACGCAGGATTTGTGAGAGTATGCAGGAGAATCCAAGGCAGTTGATGTCGCTCACAAGAACTCTGCCTTTCGCAGACCACAACTTGAAGAATTTGCGCCCGTACAAAATTCAACTAAGTCAGGAATTTAAGGTACACGGCCATTGACAACGACATGTGTTCACTGAATTGGCTCTGGAGCAGTTGAAAACTGACCCTATTTTTCATCTAAAAATCATATTTAGCGATGTGGCCCATTTCTGGATGAATGGGTATGTGAACAAACAAAATTGTCGAATTTATGACGATACCAATCCACAAGAGATCCAAGAGCATCCAATGCATCTCGAAAAGTCACTGTTTGGTGTGGATTTTGAGCTGGCGGCGTCATATAACAACTCATTTAGGTTTGATTTATACACCAACGACATGTGTTTTCGACAGGACGACGGTACATGTCACACAGCTCATGAAACATTGGATATTCTGCACGAGCGATTTGAGGGCATAATCATCTTACATGGAGGTGATGTGAAGTGGCCACCGAGGTCGTGTGATTTGACCCCGTTAGACTTTTTCTTGTGGGGTTTTCTTAAGTCGCAGGTATATGCGAATAAGCCACACATGGTCCTCAAAGCCAATATAACCCATGCCATCGGTCAAATTCAGCCTGATTTATGCGCTAGAGTCATGGAAAATTGGACGTTTCGGATGTGCTCCACTCAGAGAAGCCGTGTCAGACATTTAAACGATGTAATATTCCACACATCAATAGGGCTTTCAAACGAATAAAACATTTCGATGATATCTTACACATACTTTATTTTATTTAAATTTAAAGATAGACAACGAGGAAGATAGGTCTATAATGTCCGGGATGGCATATGTCTATCTTTTAAGGATAGCTTGCTATACCCATTTTACCGTTTGGAATGATAGTGACATATGAATAAAACCATGAATAAACAAAATATGCGAGAAATTACTGAATAAATGAAGAAAGAAAAAATCTGTTATTAAAACAATTGAAACATTTATCAAGATAGGTCTACAATGTCCGGGATGGCATACGTCTATCTTTTAAGCATAGCTTGCTATACCCATTTTACTGTTTGGAATGATAATGACCTATGAATAAAACCATGAATAAACAAAATATGCGAGAAATTACTAAAGAAAGGAAGGAAGAAAAAACTGTAATCAGAACATTTATCAAGATAGGTCTACAATGTCCGTGATGGCATATGTTTATCTTTTTTAGGATAGCTTGTTATACTCATTTTACTGTTTGGAATGAGAGTGACATGAATAAAATCATGAATGAACAAAATATGTGAGAAATTACTAAAGAAAGTAAGATAGAAAAAACTGTAATAATAACACATCAAGATATGTAGAACATACACAGAATGCAGGAGCCAGGACCCAAATACCATCATTAGAGAGTGATGAAGTGACATCAAATGTATGTCTCGACGTGGTTGAACGTGGAAAAGCCAGGACAAAATGCTTCGCTAATAGGATTGGTGTAAGAAGAGAATTTGTGAGTTCAGTCCTTTCTAGAACAAATGAATCGATGCTTTGAAGTAACGAGATTTCGATGTATGGTTCGTTTGCTGTTGTTGGTATCAAGCCAAATAGTTTTGCCCCCGATCTCCCCCTCATGTAACTCATTCAATAGAGAAATCCATAGCCATTATATAAGTGCATAGTTTCAAATATCGCCTTCAAGTAATTTGATACTGCAAAAAATCGATGGCCGGTAATAGGTTGCTTGGGATTTAATATGCGGCATGTGACTTCATTATTACACGTGTAGCTAATAATAAGTTTTTTCGTTCCTGGTATTGCACAAAATCGCAAGTTTGGTCTTTTTTTGTAGTTGAAACACACAATTCATAAAACGATCATGATGAACATTTGCCTACTGAAATATTCCTTAGTAATTCGGGAAGCTTCCTTTTTCCCAGCCGTTTTAAAATAAGCAAGCTAAAAATAAACAATTAATTAAGTTCAACTCATAAATGTCGCGCAAGATATAGTGATCTTGCAGAAAATGCACATTCTTAATAATTCAAGAGGCTAAAAATAATCCAGAGAAGAATGGAAGAATTTGATCTTTGCTCTAAAAGCTTGTGCTCTCTCTATAGACAGGCTATTTTTGCAACAATCAAGAGCTATACGTTACGATTATAAACGTTGGCAAGTTTTTTTACATTTAAATTCGAAAACAAGTCGCGCAAATATTTTTATCGGTTTTAATTTCAGCGGCATAGGTCATGGTTATGTTTATTCAAGGAAAACACCAATCTCGTGATAAGTTGTGTCTGATATAAAATGAACTGGTATGTTTTCACTATTGGTCGCAAAACATGAGTACAGTCTCTTAGTTGCTTCAATTAATTGTTGTTTCTTCTAATAAATTTAATGTAACATTTTGCACATATAACACAGGAATGGGGCCTTGAGAAACTTCAACAAAGAACGGAATCCAATACAAACATACGATTACAGATTAATGCCCGAAATAAGAAGTTATTTATTTATTTATGGCATTGCCTATTTTTACAAAATAATTAACAAATGCGCACATATGTATAGTCAAAGTAATCTTCATTGTGAACATTTAAAGCTATCGGCACCTTCAAAGGCCAAAAAACCAATACAGAGAAATCATGCAGCTGCGAACTAGTTCACGTGGACTGAAGAATTGGCGGTTTGTATTGGATGATTTTTACTAACCGAGTTTTATGATTGGCTGAAGAGTCAAAAAATTAAATAATGAAGTCATGTTACGGTGACGAATAGAATGTGGGGATGAGTATCGCTGTTCTGTCGTCAATTTTCAGTTCAGGAACTGATCGCGATTTGAATGTTGAAATTCGATATTGGTGCAGTTATAATCACTTAAAATTTATGTTATCTGTTTAAAATGTGGCGTCCTTGGACAAGTACTAATAGTAATAACGAGTATGATGACAACGCAGACTTATTCCTGTGTAGTGATTCCAATAGCGATGGTGAACAATGTAAAAAAGAGATACAAGTGAATAAGATTCGGATTCATTTGAATATTGAAACACAGAGAGTATGTTTCAATGTATATAAGAATCTACATCTCAAGTTTGGTTCTTATATACATTGAAACATACTCTCTNCAAGATATATAATCTTATTATTGTAGTTGTCCTGACGAAGGTGTGAAATATACCGAAAGCTTGACATATAACAAAGAGTTTTCTTTGTAACAGCCCAGCTATTGACTGCAACCTCACGAATTGAACTATATTCCAAGTTCCTGGGAATTGATGCTACCATTGATTAGTTTGTGAGTTAGTGTATACAAGATGAGAATGTCCAATATAATTTTACAGTTGTATTCACTAATACGATACCCCAGTTTGTATACAGAGTACCTTAAAAACTTATTTTGAACACTTTCAAGCATATCAATATCCAAGTCATATGAAGGGCACCAAATTGAATTCGATTATTGATCTGAAACTCGAGCACTTTACTATGGAAATTAATCTTCAGATTTCCATTTTCAGTTTTCCGAATGCCACTTTTTGAATTGTTATTTCTGAACGTTTATTCAAACGAAACGGGGACTTCGTTCTTAAAATACCTCTACGAAACCTATTCTTAGCTTCAATTCATAAAGCGTGCAATCGCGAAGCGATTTGGTATCATTGAAAACCACTAGCACGGATCGTAAATTTACATAATATGTCTAGAAGAAGATCCTGCTTGTTGTCATGTATGCGACTCGGAGAGTAAGCCGTATAACTGTACAGTTGCGATTACAGTTACAAAAGTTACACGAATAAGCTCCACTCAAAAATGAAGTTTATATTATACTGTAGCAAAAGCTACGCCAGAAGTAGGTCGGCAATGATTGTGGAGTATCTCGGACGGATATAGGAACTTAGGCGTAGTCAGGTTGAAATTTAAAAGGGGAACGACAAATATAAATACGAAGATAATCAATAAAATCATTGATGTAGCCATTACTACGTTAAACGTTAAACTTCCTAAACTTACCCTAAACTATATGGCCTAATAAAAACACATAAAGAAGATAACCTCATAGGACCGGTAGTTTCGTATGTGAACAGTCCGGTGAAAACGTCTTAACAAGTTGTTCAAAAATATTACCAATTTCGTCACACGTCACAGCGTTAAAAATTCGCTCACTTTAGTGGAAAAAGTAAGTAACCAAACCACGCCACATAATTCAATTTCAGTTTAATTCGATGTAAAGAGTATGTTCTCCAACATACTGTACAACGAGTGTAAGCCCCCAATTTTAGACATATTAGATCAAGCCAAAGTAGACCATATCACTTCCTTTGAAGTTTCAACAGCTTTCGATGTGTGCCTGAATCAGAGCTACCTATAGTTGAACAACAAATTCTATAAACAGGATTCAGGTTTACCAATGGTCTCACCCCTTAGTCCACTTTTAGCAGACATATTTATGAACAACTTGGAGACCACT